ATAACGGATAGATGCGGGAAATTGACTGGAATAGGACTTCCACACTGTGACTCGGTGGTCCAGAAGACAATAATTTAACGGTGCCAAATGTGATTCGATTAATACACTTCGGACTTTTTGGAGGAAAAAAATGCTGATTTCGATTTTTCTTCTAGCTTTATTGTGGCAACTGATCTAGTTTCGAAATTACGTTGGTATATTCCAACTTAAATGTATTGCTGAATATAATTCAAAAATGAGTAATATCGTAACGATGACACTATCGACTATGGCACACAAATAGCAATAATTGTTACAAAGCTTCTATTTATAATTCTATATTCTATAGAATGATCAAGTTAACAAAAGTTATACATGATTGTATGATACTAGTGTTAACATATTATAATAGGCATGAGACTTTAAAAATCTCACAAATTTTAAATTTTATTATTATTTATTTTTTAATATTGAATTTTTATTTTACACCTTTTCGTAGTACTATAAATTGTAGGCTATGTCCGAATAATATGCTATTGACCACTTTTTGGTTCTCAATACGTTATTCAGATCGAACGTTCTATCTTATAAGTGAGGGAATTTGTATTTAGTATCTAAGTAACGGTTGCTAATTACATAATTAACTAACAATTACTATTATCGTTTTAGCGCTTGAATATTGATGTGTTTTTTAAAAAATAATTGCGATAATGCAACCGAATACGAAAACTAAATGGGAAACTGCAAAATTGCTGGATTCACAAATCGTCCAGTTGAAGTTGGCCAAATGTGGATCAGCAAACCTAGTACAGACATCAGAAGCCCTGAGACGCATCCGTTTTGAAGCATCGGTTGTAGGCAAAGAAGTGGAAACGATCCGTATAATTTTAGACGACCATTGGGCCAACACTAACAGCTTAGCTAGATCTAACATAGATCTGTTGCAAGAGTTAAAAGAAAAATTACAAAAATGGAGACGGAGTAAAAAATTTGAACAGTTAATGCAAAAACAGACGATTTTAACGAGCAATATCCACCGAATGAAAACTAGGTTGGTCGAGGAATTAAAAAAATGGCAAGACCTATTTAATCACATTGAACAAATTAAAAAAGATTACGAAGTAATGGAACACATTGTTGAGTTATCAATGGAAGAAAATCAAACCACTTGTCCGAGCGCTACGCGAAAACCATGTTAAAAAAAAATAGAGTACTTGCAATTTGTTTTATAATAGAATGTATGAGTAATGAGTATTGGAAAACGTATTATTATGTTTTTAGTACGTTATAGCATATCTTGTCGTTTATTCAATAATAACAAATTTTAGGCTATTTGTTCTAAGATAAAAAGAAATACATATGTTTAAAAACATATCTTGCTATTTTTATAATCTAATGAGCTATAAATAAAAAATTAATTATCGAAGAAAAGGCAAAATCTCTAAGAACAAAAAGTAAAGATTATAATAAAATATTATCAAGGGTAAAATTATCTGTAAACGCTTTATTGAAGACCTTATATTATATTATATATTATTATAAATAATACTATGCGTTATATTTTAATGCTATGTATTATATCGTCATATTTTTTTTAAACTTGAATACTTAAAAATAAAAACTAGTCTGTTAGATTATTAAATAACACAAGAGTTTTACATTTAACTAAGTTTACACGCCACTCATATTAGATTTAATTAGGAATCTGCATTCAGTGTTGGAAAAAATCCGTAATAATCATTGTTTATCCAATACTGACGTTCTGAACCGATTCTCTAGCCAAGGGTGTAAAAACTTAACCTAAAAGTTTGGGTTTGAAATCATAAAATTTCGGATTTTGACTGTCCTTATGTATTTAAATTACTCCCACGACGTAGTAAAAGTGATGCACTATTACACATATCTTGATTTCAATTTATAATATATTTATATCATAATAATGTTTTTCTATGAGACTTGTCACAACCCTCGTGTTCATAAAGCTTTTTGCTATATATATACCACCATTTTTTGCTATTATAGAGGACTCTACATGGTAATTTAGATTCAATAGACGCTGGTAGATAATACTTGTGCAAGCGTACAGCCAATATATTACAAACACATTGAGGCTTTCATCAAACGTGCTATTGAATGTACGAAAGCATTGGAATTATAGTGGGTAACTTTAATAGACTATATACACTCGACAACCTTAATACTATTTAATAGTACACGTGTCTATATAGGATTTACTCTTAGAACGAATTAACACTTTCAAGAGACGTCGTATTTTACAAAAATAGTAAAATATAGACATCAAAGTTTAATTATTAAGCTGTTAAATCTTAATTGTATAATACTGCAATAATATTTGATCAACAAAATAGTTTTTTCAGCTAAATAAGTTAAATATTAATTCTTGATTATAATAAATCATCAAGAGTTTTAAAGAATATTTATTAGACGTTTTTATTTAATTTTTTTTTTACAAGGTAACTTTTTATATTCCACGTATTGGTTTACCAAAGTAAAATGATGATTAAACAATAACCAGTAATTTGAGTGATTATTTTTTAATGTATTAGTGATTTAAATTATAGCTGGGAAAAGGTAGACTATATTACTGTTAATTTTAAACAGAAAAGTTTACAGACCATAACCACATGACAGTTATTAACTGTTTAGCAAATGTATTAATCACCAAACTATAAATATTTATCAGTTGGCAGTTGCTAAACATTAATAAACGATATAATGTACACATATGATGCAATCTAAAAAATATAACGTATGTCCTCAGGTACACTTATAATCATTAAATTTTAACATAATGTATAAATATATTATAATGTACATCTAATTTTTAGTATAACAATACAAACAAATTAGAATCAAAATATTTTGTATTGTTCGCACGCTTATCTTTTTACAGTGAATTGTGATATTAAATGTTACTTGATTTATACAAAAATGTATTTGTATAGTTTTGATAATAAGTCATTACAAATGACCCATTGGATCGAGATAGAATTACTGCTACTTGAAGATCGTTTATCTGATTATGCAACTATTTATTTCTATCGGGGTATGGACTTACAGGAAAATGTCACCTTAACTCCTCCTTCTACTCTAGTCCTAAAATAGTTTGGTCGGATTCATCAAATGGACAATTTGTTATGATCTCAGTATCATTATTTAAAGCTCGATGAATCAAAACATAAATATTCAATAAACAAAAGAAAACAAAAAATACATTAAATCAAAAAGTAAAAAGTGAATTAAATAAATTCTATATTTATTGAATAAAATTAAAAAATATAAGTTACAAAAAATAGCATTCGTTTCTCAATGATATTGCTTAAGCATTTTTATGGTTAGCGCCGGTCGATTGTATTACTTTTCGACTCATTAAACAAAAAGTATAAACTGTACAATAAATCGCGTTGGCATTTCTTTACCTTTTTAACGGTCTCATAACTAATACTCAACATTGTAGAGAAAAAGGTAATTTATCTAAGCATATAATTCAATTGTATTTAAATGTACAAATTAAATGTAATTGATATTCGCAACCTTTTGTTTGTTTTAACTATAAATAACGAATCCTTTGGGGTTTTTCGGTTTCATCGTTGTATATTGACGTGTTGCACATTTACAACGCTAACACGAGCTAAATTTTCATTTAAGGTCTCTAATTTCACGCTAGTCGGCTTGTAACTTGTTTTTATTTTTAATTATATTGTTTAATACTTATTATAATCTGTGAAGCAATAATGATTTTTTTTTTTTCTTTTCCACTTTATTTCGCATAAGTGGAGACATAGTCCTACCTCTAATAAAATATTATCCAAAAAAAAATGATAATTATCAATTGTCTAGTCCCATTTGACTGTTTTAAAGTTTAAAACATAATAATACTTTTGGTACGTATTATTTATTAAAATATTTTATTGTTTAAAAATGTTTACATTTTAATTTATAAAAATCTTTATAATCCTAGGACTAAACGAAAACTGCAGCCGGTCACGGTTTCTTAAATCTTCAACAATTTTTCCCCTTTATTCTCCTTTTTTGTAGTTTAAATGCAGATTATGAAATTAGGTACATTTAGCCTTTCTTCATGTTTTCAATAGAAATTCCCACAGTTAATCCGTCAAATATAAAACGCTAAGGGATTAAATACAATGGAAACAGTGAGAACACTTATTTCTATAAGCTCAAATAAACAAGGATAAAACTACAAATGCATGTTATTTAATTGTATACGAGTTATCTTTTTAGAGTATTGTAAAAAAAAAAGTTTTTAACTTAAATAAATTATTGCCGTACACTTTCATGTTTATCTTAGTTATTAAGATCAAATTGTTTTACTAATTAAATCTTAAGTATAAATTATTATATAATACTTTATTTATTATAAAATTACAAAACTATAGTATAAGGTGTTATAAGTAAGTAAATATCAGAATTTATTTTATATCATTAGTAGATCAATAAAGTTAACCTAAAATTAATTTGTTAATTTTACTGATTTTATGGTTGTTAAATATGAATTGCACATGTTTATGGGTAGTCATCCAAAATTGATAGCATGAAATATGTTGAACTACGTATTTCATACATAACATAATATACTACCACGAATAGCCTTATAGGTATCAATCGAATCTTATTGTAATTTGAGTCTTATTACTGTTAGAGTTCTATATTTTCTTGAAATATATATTCCAACCATTGGCTAGGTTATATTATAGTATATTTAGATGGTTGTTTTTTTATTTACAGTATTTTAAAACTATTTACAAAATATGTTATGTACTCACGACAAGCGTTTCTAAAATAAAATAAAAACCACATTTTAGTGTAGTATGTATATATTAAATTATTTTTAAACAGGACTTTATAATAACTGTTCCAATGAAATCAAATCAAATTAGAATTTGGTCTACTTATTACTCGTGGCTAATGGGCATAAAATAAAATACGAATTTGTAGTAGTGTATATTTCTAAATAAATACATATTTTTTTTATTTTCTAGACACCTTCGTGTACCCATAAAGCTTGTTTGGGCAGCGTCATGAGTCATGAATTTCAAAATTCTATAGTTAGACCAAAACATGAAGTACTACGGCTGGCCGATGACTTCTTGAAACAATATTTTGCATCTATTAAAAGGTAACAATTTATTGATTTTATTTATATTACACACAATAAATAAATTCTAATATTAGTATGTAACATAAATGACAAAATCTTGTTTTAAAAGTTGACAAAAACACTGTAATTTGTATAATATACTACTTATTCAAGATATTATAATCAAAGACCAAATTAAATTTATCTAGATGCACGTATGTACTCATTTTGCATACACAATACGCCTTACAATCATAATACCAATTTTGGGATATTATTCTAACACTGCAAAACGGAAGTTTTTTGGCGTTATAAATAAAAATTAAATTTATATGTAAGCGAAATCTGTACCTGAGAAATGATCCGTTTTATGTAATAAAGAATATCAACAAAATGCGTTAGAATCTATAAATAAAAAACCACTTTATAGGGCTTATTTTTAATTAAACATGTTATACATTCTAAAAATAAATTCTGTTTTTTTTTTATTTAACTGTACATTTTGAAAACTATGTTTTTTTTATTTACCATAATAATACTAAACACTTACATTACAACTTTTTAGAAAGTTTTCTCATTTTTCAAAAATATTTTTTTTTGTATTGATTCATAAATTGTTTACACTTTAAATACAACACATACTCGAAACAATAAGTAATATTTCTTAAATGGAAAAAAGAAAACAAATTGCATAATAGACAGAAATACATATTGATCAACTGAATAAATTATCTAAGAACTTAAAACTATGTGCTGATTACTCCAAAATATGTATTTCCATCAAATAAAATGTTAATATCATAGATCTTAATAACGTTAAAGATAATCTTCTTGTAATAATAATATATTATCATAACTACTATTAAATTATTAGAAATTTAAAAGTTATTTTTGGCTTCATCGCGCCGTCTAACAAATATGTATTATGTACAAAGACTTGTCAAGTATACTTTAATTAAATTCATAGAGACTTTTTAAATGTTTTACTTGTCCGTAAAACAGTATTTAGTGTACGTAATAGGTATATTTAATATATTGCTACTAAAAAATGTCAATGGTTTGGAATTGTTAAAATTCAACTTTTTTGCGGCAGATATTGAGAGTTATAAATCCAAAACCCGTGCTTACCAGATGGAATATTAATTGCGGGCACTAATGGTTATGAATGTTAAGCTAACATAAATCAAAATAGTTAAAGTTTAACGAATGCGTTTCTATAATATCATTGCTGACCACGATCGATGGTACACGGTGCCGGGTTATTCCTTTAATCGCAGCACTCGTTCCGCCCAAAAGTTACTAAGGTAAACGCAAAATACGAGGGTCACGGTATGTGCAGTGTGTCCGAAAACTTGTGTACGAATGACATGCTAAACCGGTCAGGTTTACAATGCTGGAGCAAGCGACAGAATTACACAGATAGTTTTAATCGCATTTAAACTGTCAGGAAGGCTGCGGATTTAAATTCGGACGAGCAAAAGTTTACAATATTGCTTTGTAGAAGTTTGGATGTTTGAACGAAAACAAAAAAAAAAAAAATTAGTAGACGTTTATATAATATTGGCAAATGTTACCTTCGAATCGTATTGTCTTCGAGATCCAACACCTTAAGACCTCCCCCTCACAACTCGAGTGACTTAGACGCGGTCGCAATAAAATCGTACCACCGCTGTTGCCGCGTCTCTTTTAGTTAATTATCCAGATCGGTATAAGGCGAGAAATGTTTTGTTTTTGCGGTACAACAGCAAAGCGTTTTGAACATTTTACGACGCCAATAAAATCATTGGGTACACGGGCAATTCGTACTTAAGCGTATGCCACCGTGTATACACGTATAGAAGTACGGTCCGCGTCGATTTGGAAGAATTACTACAATCGGCATGATATACTAAAACTCACTTATTTGATTGAAAAGTATAATATATGGATTTTATCCAAACAAATTGATTGTAAATATAAAAAAGAAACACTAAACCTTAGACGGCGATACACCGTGCAACGGTCGCGGATCGTAGCAAATCATTATTATATGTGTAATCCCATCAGTTTTTACTTCTGTCTCGAGGGCCATAAACGATGCAGGCACAGTTGGCCAAACATTTTGATGGAGGATTGAAATGGAAAATGGGTATTGAATTTTTGTAAACGACTGAAATATTACAATTACATTAAATACAGCAAATAGCTGACTTACAAAAGAAAACGGGAACTCAGTAACTATATCATACCTAAAAATATCACACTACATATGCTTAAAAAAAACATATAAATATACAATGTTTAATTACTCATAATATTATTTATGAATAGTTTATATTATCTTATAAAATTGGTTATTATAAATAGGAGGTAACAGATTCAATGTGTACACAACCCGTTCGATAAGATGTATATTTATTACTTAATGTAATGTTCTATTCATGTATTAATATTGTATAAGCTTTATTTCGTACAACAAATCTACTTTTTTTTTGTATATTTTTTTACTTCAAGACTAATAATTACAATGTCAAAATATTATTTAAAAAAAGAAATAAATTGTTAAAATACTATTGCTTTTAACTCATGTGTAACAAATACAATACGAATGAAATGTATTTATTTAGTTTTATCTTAGCAAAATTAATTATAAGCAGTTTTAATGTTACTTGTATGCGCTCTAGGTTGACTGATATCAAAGTCAATGTCCGCATTAACAGCAAAGATTAAATGTGTATGACAGGAAAATTACAAGAGGGAAAAATTTACATTTTACTACAGACAGTGTTTTGACTGTCATGTTTTTTTTTTCATTGCCTATTCTTTATCATTCAACACTTGATAGGCGGAATACATAATTATGTTTTCAACGGTTTAATATGCACAAAAGTATTCGTATTGAAGGCACAACGCCGATGTTTGGAAAGACCCCAAGCTAAAAGGTTGTGACAGTTACCAACCCACCCAAGTTGGAAAATATCATGTTAATTTAACGTTGTTAAATTAGTATCATTACTTAACATATAACCATTATGGGGTAACAACTCTCATAGCAATTACTTGTAAATAATGTCTGGTAAACGCAACCCTTGTATCGCACCTTTAACCATGTATATTAATTTCAATTTTAAAAGTCATACTTACTGCAATATGGTAACACCCATATTTTCCCAATGTTTTAGCGATTTTACAATTTAATATGCGAGTGATGATAAGCTATCTAATTCTAGCAACAGCACTTACACTAACTTATTTTTTTTTTATAGGTTTTTGATATGGCCAAATTAATTGATGTACATTTATTAATTTTTACAATAACATCAAAAAAGTACATTTTTTTAACTAAGCTATTACTGTTTCTGTTATTATTGTTTCCTTGCATGTTGTTTACTGATAAAAATGCTTACTAGTTGTAAGCCACACACTTTTTTTTAAGTAACATACAGTTAATTTTAATTTTCTTAATGGGGGACTCAAACAATTATTTATTCGTACCCGGCAGATGCTTTTGATTATAATATCTATTCGAATATTTACGACATCGCTTTTTTAGTTGTGCCAGTTAAATAAATATAAACTTATTTATTTCAATATTTTCAATCGTAATAAACAATTATAAACATATTATGCACTCATCATATTCAATATAGTAAAAACGATTTTAAAAAAGATATTTTTTTTAACAAAGTGTATAGAACTTGGAAATTGCTTTGTTGGTGTCAAGTACTGACTATACACGTATAATCAGAAAACTTTAAAGCTCTGTTAACATTTTCACTACTAATATCATAAGGAGATTATGCTGGTATTTTTTTTTTTTTAACTGGCCGTGTCACTTTTTTTTACCCGGAAAATCTTTGTATGCATATAATGATAAATAATGACCTCGCAACGGCAAAATACAAGTTGCTAATAATAATAATAATAATAATAGTAATAGTAATTTGTATGACACAACAAAAAATATGGTAAATATGTTACTGATGGCTTCCGATTTGAAACTGGTTACAGGTCTGAACAAACGGTATATAAAAAAAAAATGAATAAATGCAATTACATTTGGGGATGGAGGGGTTTATTGCTGTATTTGTTACATATTTTGTTTTGCTAATTTGGAAAATACACAAATAAACTAGTTTAACTAAGTATTGATGTATTATTTCTTAACATTATATCATAAAATAATGTATTACAAAGTATCAAAAAAAACCTCCTTTTCTTTGGCTTATCCGGTTCAACGATTTACACTAGCGGCCTGGAACTGAATGAAAATCTTATACTTGCAAATTAAAAACCGGTAGTCATTGGTTTAGAGGTAGAAAATAAATTTTAAAGTGTGAGATACGGGCGGATAAAGCGCAAATAGGATCCCATAGCTGACTAGCGATTACCGGGCGAGACGTTACAAAGTAATAAATAAAATCACTGGCATTAAAACCCTGTAACTTGAACCTGTGGTAAGTGTTTAAAATATAGCCTCGATTTAGACGCAAGACCTATCGATGCAGACTGTTATTAACACACAATATTATAATATGATACTCCCACATAATGACCCATAAAATGTTGCCCAAAAACAGATTGTCTGTATTTAATTTAATTCTAAATGATTTTCAAACTTACCCGTTTCTGTCTCAAGTCTCATTTTATAAATATTAATACAATGCAATGTGGTCCCGAATGGGAGTATTTATAACTGATATTATTATGATTATCAACAAGTTTCGTCTAAACGGCAAGGATAAACTGAAAGTTTGTTTTGCTACAAACCGTCACCAAACGAATTGGTAATGCAAAAACTTAAGAATAACATCTCTGTACGCACAACACACCGTCACCACTACCAATGACAGGTGCGAGACCCCGAAAACGAATTTCGGCTTAACCCTAACGTGGAATTGTACCTATGGAAGACAGGAGTAGTGCACTGGTATGACGCGATCTGATAATAATATGATATAAGTGGAAAACTTCATACGAGACAGCTATGGTTATAATGGAGCCGTACAGTTTATGTGTACAAGTGTGCATACTAAGTAGTAAGCCTAACCGCGTAGGTAACTGATTAACCATAGTCACTCATGGGGTAAGTACGATAAAATACAAGCCCGGCAAGTTGGGATAGGGACCAATGGTCAAAGAACGGAAATGAAACGTAAAAGGCCGGAACATCCCGGAAAAAGAGTTTAATACCAAAGGTCACTATTTCTTTTGCTTTTACCGTCTTCCGGTTAACTGCAAATCGTCTGCTTAGTTTTGTACTTAACATTTACAGCTGATCGTGTATCCATTTCACAAAATTACAACCTGTATTTTTTTTATCAAAATTTATAAAAAAAAATAACCCAGTCATATACCGCAAGAAAACATTTTACTTTTTTATATTTATCTAAAATACTCGATTAAGTACTAAAATTAAATGACAATATGTTTTTTTTTTAATTATATTATAAACTTGTACTATAATACACAAAACTGTAGGTCTATTACACATAGTTAAACGAAAACAAAAAGCATAATACCACTATAGAAATCTCTATTGATTGAAGATATATTTTTTTTTTTATAATTTGGTATATAACAGACCAGTTGTTTAAGAAATTGCATTTTTGATAGATTTAATTGGACTTCGCACATTATAGTTGTCCGTTTAAAAAACAGTTTAATATAATACTTATAATATATTACATTTGTGTGTATATAAATGTATTCACAACTGTCATGAGACTTGAATAAATCCCAAGAACCGAGTAACAGTAAGAAACTTTATGTAAACATTTATTCGGTTTAGCATTTGCTGCCGGCAAATTATATTGTTAGATTTTAAGATATGAGTTTGCTCCTTGGTAAAAAATGATTGCAGTACAGACTGCAGTCACCAAAACGGGTGAAACAATGGTTTTACTCGCTGTTTTATATAACATAAGATTCTTTAGAAACGCTAGCAGTTTACTCGGCTTGAACACAAGACTATTATTTGGTTGTGCATTATAAAATGCGGTTCGATTTCATTATACCTACATTAAGCCTCATTCTCGATATACAAGCAGACATAAAACGTTTAAAAGCCTCGGTTTCCATTAAACGGAACCGAAATTGTTTCCGGCACTTATATTTTACGTTTCAACCGACAGTTATAAACTGTAATTTAACTGTAATCACGATAAATAAATGCTTAATTTAATTTAATTAAAATACAATCATCTGTAAGTATGCAATTTCTGCGTACTTTTAATTATGAGATTTAAACAAAATGTTTAGTAACAGATATAATATATCTATACGGCCTATTGATTACTATTTACATATTGCATACAGTAAACTATTAAATAAGTAAGTAATTCTAATTCATTTTTAGAAGGAATTATTACAAATTCTCATTGTAAAAAAAAATGAATTACAAATTAAATTTCGCTTCATAAAAATATAAATAAAACACAAATCCGGCATAGCATTGTGTCATGCAAACGTTTAACAAGAATAACTGCTTCAGAATAATAAATGAATTCATGGCATGCAAGTGAGATAAGATAATTATAACCATTGTGTAAATCAGCTTCTCGTAATAAAGAAAGGAATGCCTATTAATAAGAGAAGATTCACCGTGGTAGTTATACCAAGAAACGTGAAGCGTTTACAGTCATCCCTTTGTAATATAATGGCGTTAACATTAGTACTGTCTTATTATGTTGTACAACATATGCATTTCAGTTTTTCCATTTAAAATGAGTTCAGTTAGTGCGAATTAACACAAAACCAAAAGATCAATAACTATTTACTATGATAAAAAACGTGGTTTCTTTCAAACATTCTTCCTTTGCATACCCTTTTAAAATTAAGACACCGCGCCGGAAGATAAACGGGAAAATAAAATATACGGTGAAAAAAATTATATTTGACTAAATAAATAGCATAAATATTTTTGTAAACTATAATATCAATATAATGCGCCTATAATAAGGGCTCAAGATGGACATCAGCAGATACTTCCATAATATCAAATATAGGTATAAACATTTATATATACATTTTCATAGTACCTACCTATATACATACAGGGTTGGAATAAATTATTATAAACCTTATTACTAAGAGACAGCTGTTTTCCGGAAGTTAGGTCAACATATATACATATATATATATTTGATGTTTTCGATTTATTCGACATGATAGTCGTCATAACTTTATATGTGCCATGTAACTTGGAAATTGACTTGACGTTAATCCATATACAGTAGCTATAATATGAAAAATATACACCAAGTACACATTATATTTTTCATATTACCTACATAAAATACCATAAAACTACGTAATTAAAAAGTTAATTAATTGAAAAACCATGGACTTCATAAACAGGTTCGATTCGAATTTTTTCAACAGTATTTTTTTATTTAATTGTTCTTGCGTGAAACAATTTATTCTTTAATCCATTCAAAAATAAATAAACAAAGCTCGAAAGATATTTTAAATGTTACAAAATACAAAATGATTTCTGAATGATTTTCGTCTGATAAGACGAAAAAAACAAACTTTAATTATTTTATTATATATAACACGACTATAGAATTCTACATTTTTTTTACAATCCGAAAAATAATGATTAAAATTTATTTTAACATAAAAATGGAAAATATATAATGTTTCTTTGAATAATAAATGTTTATACATATTTTTTTTTTCAATAAAAACAAGTTATGAATTTCAGTGCCTTCGCTGCTTTTACTATTTCACGCTGCCTTCATTCTCTTCAAGTCGTATTCCCTGTGCACATTTTTCGAGGTCAGTTTTTACCGTATCCATCCCCATCTCTGTCGGACACTAGGTCTTTACCCGTTGATTTTTCGTTATTTATTTTATGACGTTACCAGATTTCCAAAAATGGCTGAGCCACTGTACTCATTTACATCTTATGTATGATTTAATATTAGGATTTTAATACCATATGAATTCTCTGTTATTACAAATGTTACAAACACACTTCTTGTTAAATTAAAAAATACATTTTACTGGACTTCATTTCATTTAGCATTACATCCGTAACGTTCGTTCACATTAACAGATATGCAAATGCATGAGCTAAAATAATTGTACATGATAGTGATCTTTTAGAACATCTCAGTATATTGAATTCATTGCGCATCACGTTTCAGTTCATAAAACACGTGCTACACATATACATTTTTTGTATACATCATAATAAAATAATTTTTTTTTATAATTATTAAAAATATACATCTATTTTTGTTTTCAGATCCAATAGTCCAGCGCATATGGTTAGATGGGAACAAGTGCAACAAGAAGTCAACTCGACAGGCACTTATCAACTTACCGAAACGGAATTGGTTTTCGGTGCTAAATTAGCTTGGAGAAATTCATCCAGATGTATAGGTCGCATTCAATGGGCCAAATTGCAGGTAATAAAAATTCAGAAATTTAATGATTTCGAGAATTTTTAAAACGTCAAATACATCAAATTAAAAAAAAAAAATTTACGGATAATTTTACTGAAAAAATGATATTATTATTATATATCACACACACACAGTGTACAGCGAGAATAATGATGATACCTAAGAGATAGGTTTTAATTTAAATTTACACATATTATATAATTTTTTTTTTAGGAAGATTTTGTAAAGAATAAATTTATCTTTAACTTTCAAACATTAAATATGTATATGATGTGTATAATTCAAGTATTATTTTCACCCGGTCCGATCAAGATTGATAAAAAAAGACAAAACTACTGATTCGAGATAAATCTTCAAAGAAAACGGTTTTTATTTAATATCTCGACATTTGCATTACTACTGTGCTTTTTAAGTATGAATTTTCATAAGTATAGAATACATAATAGGCAATTATTTAAATAACATTAAAACATATAGCAAAAAGCTCGCATCCGATAAAATCAAATAAAAACACCAGTTTTTTTTTTCGTTAGCCATAATCGGTTGCAAAGCTGTTGAGCATTCGTGACTGGCTAGGTATTGGGGGTAGGGAAGAAACAGCCGAATAACCATTGATAAGTGGGTTGTCAATAGTTATCGCTGGAAGAACCGCGTATAATCTCGGTTCGACATATTGCAAAATGGATTGCAAAATACACACGTTGTATATGTAGAGGAAGAAATCGTATAAAGAATTCATCGTGTGACATTTAAATAAATCGAAAATACATTTGTTACTCGCACTTCGCTTGTTTAGGTATGCATATTTTAATATTTATGATTAAATACTGTTTACTATGCTCATTCGATTGATGGGAACACTGATGATATCAATTAACCATTGTTGTGACGGTTAAGTTAAAGCATTCATTTTATCAAGTACGCTGATAAATAATCCTACAGTAAAAAGAAATAATCGTCATCAAGCGTTGTGTTTTATTTTTAGAGGCTGGATCATTTGTATAATAATAAGTCATGGTTGTAAATTATTCGGTAAATCAATTATCAAATATTCGATCGTTAATTTGTTAATTTTAAACATCAGCGGTTTTTAATGGACATTTTAAATTGTATCCATAAAAGAACAAGAAAATTGAAGATAACATTCAGTGAATTCTCTTATTGGAATTCCAGTATTCTCCTGCTACGTTCCAAAAATCATACCCTTCTTTGGGTATGATCCGGTTAAGAACTCAACTAAAACTTTAATTAAAATCACTATAGAAAATCTATGATAATACTCACAAATGAGATTAAATTTAATTATTAATTATTCTTTGAAAATAAAATTACTAATAATATCGACTAAATAATACTAAAAAAGGCCAATATTTTTTACTTATTATTTTGTAAAGTTAAAAGAGACAATACGATACTCTTAAAAACGTGTATTCGTCTAGTTTTTCTAATAGGTATTAAACTAGACATTCAAGAAATTTATAGTAGAAATTAAAATTTATAACAAATATTTATTAATAATATAATAGTCAATACTAAATAATAACATTTTTATGACAATATTTACAATTATATTATATAATAATACATACATACATAAATGTGTATTTTTTAAATAACACTGATATTCGATTACCTTGTTAATTTACATTTATTGTCGGGAAATACTTAATACCTACATTAAATAATTGTAAATTTTATTTTAAACATTAAAAATATTGTGTTGGACGTTTTTGATTTGTCGCAGGTGTTTGATTGCCGATCAGTGACCACGACCAGTAGCATGTTTGAAGCGATTTGCAACCACATTAAGTACAGCACGAACAAGGGCAACATCAGGTCAGTTAATATAATTGGCATTTAAAATTACTTACGGATCAAATACCCATGATGTAACCTAGTACCTATATTAGCATATAAAGCATATTATTCTGCAAACGAAAGTTTTGAATTGGCGGAGGTCTTCTTCAAAATTAAACCTTTATTATACATCACATTTATTGTTGTTGTTGTTGTTGTTGTGGAAGAGGGCGGTAGTGGCAGTGTTGATAATGGTAGTTGGCATTGCTAACGTATATATATATATATATATAGCATCGTCAAGTAGTCCGATTTGAGCGTGCGGTTAATAATTTAATTTGCATACATATCGGCGATATTCCTTTACCGCATCTACTACCTATCGATAGGAATTAATTCTACTCTAGAAGTTTGATTAAACTGTCAGCTATTGACTGGTTATGCACAACCGTAAAATCCGTTTTTGACAATAATTTTTCTTCTCAATATTTTAATATATTATGTTATGTAAAAACGAACAGTAATATTTCCAGTGACACGTCAATATTCTTTAGTCAATTAATTAATTTAATTTAATTTAATTTAACAAACTCAGTTTTTTAATAAAGTTTGTATATTTTAACCGCAAAATTAAGTGAAAAATTGCTATATTAACGGCAAGTATAGTTTATTCAACTTAACATAGAGTTAAACGGACATAATAAAAAAAAAAAAAATAATGACTAATAGAAATGTATTGAGCTACAATTCGTATAACATGTAAAATATTAGGTAAATGTACTTTGTTTGAACCCTTTATGAGTCTTACTAGATAAAGTCTTAGTAGTCTAAAATGTCAGTCTTAAGTGGCTTAACTTAAGTTAAGCAACTTTTGACAGATTAATATAAATTAAGTTTTTATTATTCACAAAAATATCATGTTTTTTTTAAATTTCTATTAATAAGTAAATTATATCTAGTATTTCAGACCTAAAGTATAACTATATAATGGCTTAAAATATACTAGGTTATTGCATATCCCCACCTTTTTTTATTAAAATTCACAAAATGGCAGCCTAAGGTACATAATTGTTTTTTAGATAAATATAACATATATATATATATATAAATAAAAATTTATATTTATATATATTATAAAATAAATTAATTTAGTTGGCTGACCCTTATACTGCAGTTTTATTTTTATCATAGAAAATTTTGATGGAGAGGGGGTAGAGATGCAATAACCTTATATATTTTAAGCCATGAACTATATTATATTAGAAACTCCCTAAAAGCACAAAAAACAAATGTATACAGTTGTTAACAGTTGATATAACATATTAATATTGAAATAATATATTAAATTGTAAAAAATAATAATAGTTGAAAAAAAATATATATATACATATAATATATAAACCGCCTTGGTATCTTATACTATTTTGTACAGTTTTAAACTTATTCTACGTCTATCACAAGCGTTATACATTAAAAATGAACATAGTTCTTTCTCGTATATTTTCCCCTAGAAAAAACAAATAATACTTATATAATTCACCGTACAACAGTATGCTCAATATGATGGACGCAATAATCGTAACGATAAAAATTGATTTCCCATAAAATAACACATAACGTATAATAACCTACATAGACTATAACTTACGTTGAGATTTGTACGTTATGCATATTTTATATGATAGACTTAAACCCAACACATTCAGATTCTTTAGGAAATATTTAACAAAATATCGAGTTCTTGAAAATTTTAAATAGTTAAAAGACAACATAACGTGTTCAAGTGTACGCGAAATTGCAATTAAATACTTTTAAATACTAAAAGCGAAAGAGTATTAATTTATGGTTCTTTTTAACATTATACATTTTATTGAACCAATATAGAAAAACAACATAAAATTATTTAAACTCTTAATTTGGTTCTGCATCTTTAAAGATATAAATATATTTTTTCTTGACCAACCTTAAGTGTTTTTTTTTTTTAATATTTTTGTTATTAAAAAATTAGCTCTTGCCAATTTAAGAGTTAATAAAACTTTTATGTCTATAACTTGAATTCTAAATCTCCATAACACAACAACGTATATATATATATATATATATATATACACGGAGATGACTTTAAGGTTATAATATTATACAAAAAAAAACCTTGGTCATAAATAAACATGACACATTAAATCCTTAATGTATGTATAAAAAGAATCCGCTGTGGCGCGGTCGACAACACAAAATCAGATGTGTACGGTTGTTGTTCAGCCACGTTAAGTATTGTCTGTACCCGGCTGGGTTGCTTGAAACGAATATTAGCAACTTGTCACGCCTCTCAGCTCCCTCCAATAACCATTAAAATATAAATTAATGATTAAACTATAAAAAATAACATTTTAGAACTCGTAAAAAATTAAGTATTTTTTCATAAAAAGTATTCTTAACATTTTTAAATTTTCATAATTTACGTTATCAACATTAACGTTATTAAAATGACCACAAATTTTCAAAAAGCCGACAAAACTAGAAAATGTAAGGTAAATAAGTTAGTTAATTTAATTGATTCCTAAATGTATTATATTCTTATATGTTATTCCATAATTATAATTGTAGGATATATTATATTGTTATAGGAATCCTTGTTACAAAACCACAGAACGATAAAACTAATTACAAAACATAATATTTATGTTTATATAATAGTACGTTAGTAGTCTTTTTTTCTATCTATCCGGCAATATTTTTTCAGATAGATAATATTCCTGATAACGAATTCGACTGAAAGTTAAAAACATTGAATCGTCGAATAGCCGAACAGAAAGTTTGACTCAAATAGATAGAAATAAACAATTTTGATAAAATTGGTGACCTCTATATTTTTTGGTCGGTTAAAAATGTATAACATAAACAATATAGTAAACACTTGACACAGAAAATGCATACAAACAATAAGTCTAACCCTCTTTGGCAGCAAAGCCCACTTTTTAAAAACTCCAGAGAATAAAATCCGCATTATTAATTTATAAAGAATAATACACAGGTAATAAAATAACAGACATTTACATAAAATGCCGTACAAACATTTAATTTTCCAAGTCTTGGTAAACACTATCTCTGGATTTAATCGATTAAAAGTAAAAACTACGTTAACGACGTTAAATTGTATCCATAATTTTTAAACCAAAACTCATTTTGTTTTCTAACTTAAATTCGATCCCGTTTAATTTCCGGTTTATAACCAATTATTTACAACGTATAAATATATACATGTGTGTGTATCGCCGCTAAATTCACGTATCTGTATGCTGAAATGTTTACTTATATATGAACAGTTTAAGGTGGTACCTAACATGAATATGAGATTTCGGAATACCAATGAACTCGGTAACGTTATGATAAGACTGCCAGATGGAAAACTTTGCTATTTAAGACATTTTTTGGATACAAATGAGCACACGTGAGCTTAATACTAAAATCCTATCAACTCAATGTGCACAGTGTAAACATTAAGTAGTACTTAAAATATTACATTAAGAAACAACTTGATAATAATACAACTTCGTCGGAATAGTATATTTTATTTACTGTTGTCGAGTAAGGTATTATATTTAAAGTAATGTTAACATATTGTCATTTAACTGTTGTATTAGTAGAATAATTGTAAAAATCTAATTGCGTGAGTATTTAAAATATTTATTTTGTGTGACAGGCCACAATTGTTTGCCAAAGAAATAGTATTCAAACTGATTTACCTTATGTTTGGTGTTGTTCTTTATTCTACGTAAGAAAGTTTTGAAAAAGGATAAAGTCACAGCGACCACTTGTAAAGATTTAAAGGTTAATTCCAAAAGTTCTTCTGGGAATACTACAGCTATATGGCGAGGTTGAAAGGATTTGTCCTATTTGTTTAGCCGATATTTCATTTGCGTTTTTACAATTTACGGTTTAGTCGGGGAAGCATGCTGTCATTTTTAAGACGGAGCCCAGTTAAGTTTACTTATATTATAATATTATCATAGACAGCAACGTAATTGTCAAAACATAATTTATTATACGATTTAATCGATAATTGAATAATAATTTAAGAATTGAAACGGGGAAAAAATGAAACTGTTTTAATTTATTTTTACCGAAAAAAAATGCGATTAAAAAAAAAAAAGAACCATGTGCATAAAGTTATGCCTGGCTGTATATATAGTATATTATATTAATGAATAAATATTTGTTTAACAGATCTGCTATAACGGTATTTCAACAAAGGACCGATGGGCGGCACGATTTCCGAGTATGGAATGCGCAAATTATTTCCTATGCTGGATACAAACAACCCAACGGCACATATATTGGAGATCCTTTGAACGCAGAATTCACCGAAGTGAGTACAACTTTTAACAATCGTCTGACTATTTTTCATTTCTAGACCGAACTGGTATTTTTATCGAAATTTTGTATATTTAAGTACATTTTTTTTGGTACGCATAAAAAAACGACCCGTATGAATGCCTAATAAGCATATACCGATGCATCATAAAAATTAATTGAAATATTATCATATTTATTTGAATGTATAAGCAAATTATTTTAACTGCGTCAGGTTGATAAGATACTTTATCAAGTTTTTTTAACGTTAATTTTGAATTTAATAATCGTCCTCCGTTTTTTATTTAAGTGTATACTCGTAACTACCTACGTGTTTAGTATAATTAATATTGGCATAGGAAATAATGAATCGCATGCTTATTTTAAGTAGGTGGCTTTAACTGGGTTTTTCAGACTAAATTTTATTTTTATTTACCATCAACTAAACCCGTTTTTATAATTAAATGTCAATAGCAGGTAATGAATGACGCCCGCGCTAATCCACCTAACCCATTACAATATGCACCTTTACTTCTTAGTCTGATAATAAGTATTTTTTTAAAAATATGTTTTTATTTGATTTTAGACTACAACAGAAATTATAATACTTTCGAATTATTTATTAGTGATGATTTTATTTTAATAGGATCAAATATTTATGGCAGCATTAGTCAACTATTGAGCTATTTCTACCCAAACATGTTATACTTTTCAATTTGGGGGTTCTTTAGTTTCACTTCATCTTTCATAGTACTAATTAATAAAACGAAAATAACCTAAAACTTAAAAGTACCTTTTTATTACTTAATATTTTGAGAGTCTATTGTGTGTTTGTTAATAATTTAGGTAAATCTAGCTGAATTAACATAAGATGATTTATTTGCCTGTTACAGGTGTGCATGAAATTAGGATGGCGGGGCAAAGGCACAAAATGGGATTTACTGCCTTTGGTGTTATCGGCAAACGGGCATGACCCGGATTATTTTGATTTACCAAGAGAACTAGTATTGGAAGTTCAGCTCGTTCATCCGACGTAAGTATTACCAAGCTACTTATGTGTGCCTACTAAGAAACATTACACAAATATTTTTCACGGTATACTTACCATCTTACCCGGTACCATTAAAACATATCGTTCTTAATTATTCAACCATCGAACTTTTTGAAAAATTGTAGAAAATATAGAAGGGACAATTTGTGATTCATATGCTGACATCATTACATCATATATATATATATATATATATATATATATATATATCGATCACTTTATTTTTATAAAATAGATATTTAATTATCTGAGTGCAAAATATACACCCGACACAAAAACAGAATTGTTTATTATACGGTACATTTCATCAGTAATGGAACACGGAGTCACATACAAAATAATTAAGTAGTTCTGATAATGTATTATTTGTAATAAAAAATCATTACATGAAAGTAATTATTTTTGTGTTAAATTAATTAAAACTATAACGAATTATTATTACAATTTGTGAACATTTTATATTTCCGGCCATTGACGTTATCCGACACTAATTTTTAAATTATTTGAAGACTATAGTTTATTTAAACAATAAAATATAAATGTTGTTTACTTCTTAATGACAACAAAAACTAAAACCCTTAACCGAATTTAAACGCATTTTACATATAATATATATTTTTTTTACAACCCGTTACCTATTGGCTCATAAATTACATAAAACACCTTTATTCAATGGTAAGCAAAAGCTATTAAAAATGTATTATAGACGCTCCACATGTGCGTCTAGAGTTTCTTTCGAAATGAAAGCTTAATGGATTATTTAAATTTAAAAAAAATATTCAAATTATACCCCCTTTTTCCCTACGAGGTCCCTTGATTAAACCGTTATGATTAAATACCCTTATAAATCAAATTTTATTTTCATGTTCGAGTTGTACTTGAATTCAATAAAAAAAATTTAACCGTAGTATTTTTAATTAAAGCAGAAATATTATAACCGTTTCCTGAGAATCTTTGCACATGTTTGTACAATTTAATTATGCACACTACTGTAAATTATAAAATTAGTAGGTATATAATTTTATAATATTAAAAAAAATAACTAAATATTATGCATAGCTAACAGCGTTGTATGGACTAGACGAGCAATATAGCTATAATTATGTTTAAGATCTAAACAAATAGAAGTTTTAATCAATAAAAAATTATAATTAAATTCTGAAATGATGACTGAGAATGCAAACATAAACATTTTAATAGATATGACATTTTAAGATACCATTTACTATCCAACTGCCCATGTGTGTAGTGAAATTGCATAACCGAAGTGCCGGCATAACAACAACAATTATTATCTCTGGAATAGATTTTGCAATCGTGTTATTTATATTATAATTATTAGTCCACTAATAAGTAATACTAATAAGTGCTATCACTGAGTATATTAAACCACAATAGACACTTCAATGTTAATGAGAACGTCGTCATATTCTCATTGTGTATTATATTTATACACAACCGCTAAACATACTTGATATGCGTATTTTCTTTCTTTTGTTAAAAATCAAGTAAAAATGTTATACTTCAAAAGATTTTTATGTAAATAAAAAACTAAATTGAACGTTGAAGGCTACTAAATGTAATTTTAACCTGTTACTTTTGTTTATTTATATCAATTAAACAAATAGTCTGTTAATCTATAAGTTGTTATCAGACTATACAAGAAAATTATAATTTTATTTAACCAATATACTTCCAAGATTTGAATGTTTTTAAAATCATTATTATTTCCACGTAAATGATTAAAAAAAAAGTAACATGAATTATATATTGATCATTCAAAATAATGTCGTTGGAGATGAAGATGGGCTTGATTTCTTTGCCGTATATGTCTGCTACGGTGTTCCTGGTTCCGACCAGTTAACTTGATTCAAAATAACTAACCAACTAAATGTTGCCAATAAATCGATTAAGACCAAATATTAAAAACTACTAAACAAACTTTTAGCCAACAAAAAAAAATTTAAAAATCAGAAAATTAGAAATGTAAGTATACTTAAATTGACATTTACTCAGTCATAAGACATATACATGTGCCTATATATCCGCTTGTAGTGTGGATACTTTGATTTTTTTTTTCATTTAGCGTTGAACAATGAAATGACATTAAATACTTAATCGTAGTAATTCCTGAAAATACTTTTTTTAAACTCTATAAAAAAGAAATCCAACGTGGAAAAATATATTTTCGAACCAACCGTTTTGTAATTGACATAACAAAACTAATAATTGTAACATTATATTATTATATCTTACAGGTTCGACTGGTTTGCAAGTCTTGGCCTCCGTTGGTATTGTCTTCCGGCAGTTTCGAGCATGATGTTTGACTGTGGAGGTATTCAATTCACAGCTTGCCCTTTTAATGGCTGGTATATGAGTTCGGAAATCGGATGCAGAAACATGTGTGACCCTCATAGGTATAATGTCTTAGACGTAAGTTAACGAAATGTTTAAAATTATACTATTCATCCATCTACAGTGCTATTTACAAAGTTTCGTCAATTATTGTTTTTCTATTAATTTTGATTTTCAGACAGTTTTAGATCACATGAAGAACGACATAAATCACTATGGGTTTTTAAAGAAAGACCGAGCCCTGGTAGAAGTGAACTTGGCGGTACTGTACAGTTTCCAAGTGAGTTAATAAACACCGCGAAAGCCACATAGATTTGCATATATTATGTTTTTTTTTTTTTTTTTATACGGTACTAGTCGAACAATATTACAATTATGGACCACCATACCGCAAGTGAATCTTTCATGAAACACTATGATAACGAACTAAGGACAAGAAAAGGATGCCCAGCTGACTGGGTGTGGATAGTACCTCCAATATCTGGGTCAATAACGCCTGTGTTTCATCAAGAAATGGCTAACTATGAACTGCAGCCTACTTATTCGTATCAAGTGAGTGAAAAACTAAAAACAATTCCATTGTTTTTCTTGAATTATTATTTTGGTGCAAAACGCCACAAAAATATTATGCTAGCGTAGAACGTTTTTTTTCCTGAACAGCAAACAGTCGAAACTTGAAGTGCATAAAACATTAAGTAAACATAAACAATCAAAATTAAATGATAAAAGTTTGACATACAAAACCAATTAACATTAAAATTTCAACGTACCGAAAACATATGTTTTGCGAATAAGAGAATTTTAATGGTTCCTTTATGAGGTATAATGCAAAATGTAATATTTTACGCAGTCAAGTTTTAACTAATAATTGATAAACTATAGTTTGGGTCGTAAGAATAAAATATGTTGTTTGTCTAACCCGGTGATTATTATAGTCGGATAAAAAGAAAATGAATTAAAAACAAAACATTAAAGTTTGAACGTGTTTACAGGAAGCCGCTTGGAAATCGCACGTATGGAAAAAAGGGCAAAATCAAGGCAAGTCGTTAAAAAAACAACGCAGAAAATTCCATTTTAAACAAATTGCCAGGTTTGTATAAATATTTGTCAACGCTTTAAAAGTTCAGTATTAATTTAAGTTATACCGTTGGAATACAATTTTATTTTTCTCGCAGAGCTGTTAAGTTCACATCGAAATTGTTTGGTCAAGCGTTATCCCGGAGGATAAAAGCCACCATACTTTATGCCACAGAAACGGGAAGATCGGAAATGTACGCCAAGAAATTAGGAGAAATATTTGCACACGCATTTCACTCTCAGGTGGTTATATTATTGAAAAATGTTGAAATGAATTTGAAATTTTACTTTAGATTTGCCCTATTTCACACCTAATTGAAATCTAACGTTAAAATCTGTTTTGAGTATTTTGAAATTATTATTGACTTTGGTGAAATTGCGAATGCGATTCTTTAATTGATACATTGTATGTTGTCGGCGTTAACCAAGGTGATGAGCATGGCCGAATACGACATGACAAGTATTGAACACGAAGCATTGCTATTGGTAGTAGCATCGACTTTTGGAAATGGAGATCCACCGGAGAACGGACAAGTAAGAAAACGCCTAAAGGATAAATTAGAGTTTTTTTTTTAATTTATGGACTATATAATACTAAAAGGTAAATAGCATTTTGGATTTAAACCAGATTTGTAAACAAAATTGTCCGTAGTACAAACAGTTTTTATCAAATAAATTCGTAGTTTTTAATAATCATAATTTTTGCTAAAACGTGAACGTGTACGAGTATTATTTATTTCTACTAGCACTACTTATTGTATATTGTTTCAAATAGGAGTTCGCTCAGCAGTTGTATTCGTTGAAAATGGAACACGAAGGCAGTTATTCCAATAAACCTTTAATCATCAAATCTTCGCCACTCAGGTATTGTACTTGAAAAATATCTACTCGAAAACGCAGTTAAAACTTATGAACGATGTATATCTTTTCTTTTCTTTTTTTTCTTAGTTCGGCGTCGTTCATAAAAGCAAACAGTCTTTCAGAAAGTCTTTTTTCCGAATTAAACGACTCGTTCAACAAGGACTCGACGGATGTTGATAACTTTGGACCTCTTGGGAACGTAAGGTAAATAAAGGGAATGGAAATAAAAACTGATATGCTGCGACTATACAGTCAAATGTGTATCGCTTAATGATTCATTTTTGCAAACTGCAAATGCATTTTACAAATGAATGGGTTTAATGCGTGATATACATAATATCAACTCATCGACAACGCTAATCGGTTTGCTTTTGTTCCGTGCATTTTAAAACTATTCAAATCGGCTGTCTGAAATGGTTTTTTTTATTTTTTTCAGATTTGCCGTTTTCGGTTTAGGCTCGAGCGCATACCCTAACTTTTGTGCGTTTGGATCGTACGTGGACAACCTTCTCGGTGAACTTGGCGGAGAGCAGTTAATCAAGCTCACGAAGGGTGACGAAATGTGTGGCCAAGAACAAGCGTTCAAAAAATGGGCCACAGATGTTTTTCACGTGAGCTGTGTTAAAATGTTGTTCTTGAAAGTATTTATGCATATCTTCTTTATACTCGCCGGGAAAGCTTTTTTGTATTTCCGTCACTTGTTCGTCCGCAATATAAGTACACAACTATGTTACGATAATTTAACACCTATTATGTTTCATAAATTATCAAATTATCATATTATTATGAAAACGTGCGTTCAAAAATACAATATTGTGTTTCATAAAATCGTACAGAGCTTTTATCAGTGCTTGATTTAAGGGGGAACGCGGGGGGGTTGAGTACCTCAACTAATTTTTTGGATACGCTAGTACCCCTATTTTTTTTTAAAGGAAAAAGCATGGAACTGCATGGTTGTTAGTTAAGCTTATCTATTTTTATAAAATTTCTCAACTTAAATTCATGTGTTAAGTAGGTATATAAATATTACAAAATGTTCTAAAATTCTCAGCTATGGGATATTTTAAATGAAGATGTTTAAAAATTGAAATTATTATTTAAGTTATATAAAAATACGTTTTTAATTGTTTTTTATATTTTAAGTTGGTTTTGAAAAAGACAATTTATATCTAAACATTTTTGATATTATTCTGTTTTGTTATGATACGCGTTTAATGGTTTTGTATTAACGCTTCTTAGGGACCATAAAGAAAGGATGCCTCCACGGTAATGTGAGGTATCTTATTATTAAAATGCTAAGGACGCTACTTTTTTTAAAGTAGCTAGAAGAAGCTCTACTACTTTTTTTCCCAAGTCAAGCACTGGCTTTTATTGTTTGTTTTTGGGACTTGCACGCTTCAACACATTTTAGACAGTTTTAGGTAACATTTTAAAACAATGTTTGATGTATACTCAAATAGGTTGCTTGCGATACATTTTGCTTGGACATGGACCAAACACTCAGTGAAGCTTCACAATTACTTCACAACGAAAAACTGTCCGCGTCTACGGTCCGTTTCGTGCCCAGTGAACTAGAAGACCTTCATTCAGGTATAAGTTCCTATAACACATTGGACTCAATTAGTGTATTTCATGTATAACTCAATTCAGTAATTCGTGCACTCGGTGTTCTTTTTTTCGTACCATTTCCTCAAAAATTAGTACATCTCGGTAACAACAATAAACAAGTTGACATTATATCTATATGGCTGAACTTAATAACAATTCGTTGTACCAAAATATTTGAAAAAATGCTTAACTTTCTCAAAATACCTTTGACACGTTACGTCTATTAATAAAATTCAAATTTTTTTTACCTGGTTTTCTTTTTGCTTGACTCGCTCTTACTATTTTATTTTGTATACAGTTCAAGAGAAGAGTCGATATTGTCTTACTAGGCTTGTTAAAAATGATTTTTCTCTGTGCAATGTTCGAAATCACATGTTTTGCGCATACATAATATTTTGTGTAAGACATAATACTGTCCGCCTCAGATATCTCTGCTTGATCCCATAGGGGTTTTGTTTATTAACTTGTGCAATCGACTAATCAATTACATGTCCTCCTTTTTTATGTTTTAAATGTCTTCTACCCCAGATGCTTTTTCGTTTTTAAGTATATCAATAGCTAACTCCACTATTCCCCTCGATGGGATTTCCGTGTTTAGTTCTACCGTATTCTTTAACTGTTATTCCCACACTCGATTGATTTAAAATCATGCTAATTATTATTTGAGTTCATTCGCGAGCTCAACGACTACCGTTTTTAAATTTCCATTGACCTTTTCCATATTTTTGGTCTTAACCAATTCTTATCTCATTTACCTTTTAAAACCCTGCCTACTAGTCTACATTATTAAAAAATTGTATTTGTTCAGCATACACTCGCTATCACAACAAAAAAGTGTGGAGATGTCGAATAGGCGATAAACAAAACTTAATGAGTCACAGCGAAGACAGCAGGAGTGACCGAGTAACGCTGTGGATTGAAATCAATGTAGACGACTGGAAAGCATCAGACAAGGTTATGTACGAACCGGGCGACCATGTTGGTATGTTTGCAGCAAATAGATCTGAACTCGTGTCCGGTATTATACAACACTTAGACTCTGATCAAGACCCCGACCTACCTATGGAGTTGCAAGTGCTCAAGGAAAAACATACATCTACTGGTAACAATGATACATAATACACTGGCATATCTTTCCCGCCCATTATTGTTATAATATTGATCCTACTGATTCTATATGGAATAACATTGTATCCACATTTTGTAACTGTTGACTATACTGCCTTACAGGAGTTGCTAAAAATTGGCTGGCACACGAAAAACTTCCCAGGTGCTCCCTAAGAACGTTATTAACGCGGTTTTTGGACATCACTACACCACCTACTCCGAATATGCTGCAGTTCTTTGCCTCGTACGCTACGGACTCGACCGATAAGAAAAATCTCACACTCTTAGCAACGGTAAGATGTACCCGGTTCGATCTAGAGGACTTTTAACTTAATACAACGGAATTTTCAGGACAGCGCGGCTTACGAAGACTGGCGTCATTGGCATCTTCCAAATCTTTTCGAAGTTTTCCAAGAATTCCCATCCACCAAACCACCAGCCGCTCTGCTGGTTGCACAACTTACACCGTTACAGCCGAGGTTTTATAGTATTTCGTCGTCGAGTCAGTTGCACCCACATCAAGTACATCTTACGGTCGCCGTTGTCACCTACAGAAGTAAAGGTATTAAAATCATTATATTATTGTTAAATTAAAAATGTATAAAATAATTTCATTCAAATATCGGAACTATTTTCATTATTTTAGTTTTCTAATAGAATTATGGTTTACCTACTTTTTAAAAAATGGATTAAGTTTACAGTAAATTTAAGCCTTAACACAATTAATATTATTCTAACAAAAATTCTGGTGATTAAATCGCTTAAATACTATAAAAACTGCTCATTCGAAAACTGCATGTTATTGATTTTTCAAAATTAATAAATACTCCTGTTTCATAGTATATAAACCTTTAAGCAATAATGTTAACTGTGTTATATTAAATTTACAAAAAAAATAATAATAAATAAATAAAAACTGTTTATAGGCGGAAAGGGACCAATACACTACGGAGTTTGTTCCAATTTCTTGTTAGAAACCGACAAAAACGACACGCTGTACATGTTTGTTCGAAGGTAGGTACCCACAACTAGTGTCATTGTATCGTTGACATAATACTATCTATAACCAATTATTTTTCTCCTTTGCCATTTGCAGCGCGCCAAATTTCCATTTGCCCGAGGACGTGACCAAACCGTTAATACTGGTGGGCCCCGGCACAGGCATTGCGCCGTTCCGGGCTTTCTGGCAACACAGATTCGCACAAAAGAAAAATGGAATCGGTACACACAACACGTCTCGTAACGCTTGTAAAAATGCTTATTTTTCCAGCTTAACGCTATCAATGAGTATGTGTTTGGTAAATTTACAGACGCAAAAATGGGTAGAGTCATGCTGTTTTTCGGGTGTCAATATAGATCACTGGAATTGTACAAAACCGACAAAACCGCCATGCTCAACGAAGGCGTGCTCGATAAGGTCTACTTGGCGCTGTCCAGAGAATCATCAATACCTAAGGTCGATTATATTATACAACTTCTTATTCATTAGTATATATTAATAATAATTCGATAGTGCTCGGTTAGGTTAGGTTAGGTAAAAATTCTGTCTGGCTTTTCTGTTTATGTTTTTTATACATATATATCATTCCCATCCCCTTTAAATTTTACAGATTAACGCTCTAAGAGAATTTATAATCGAAATTACCGTAACACTATTCGATGCTTTGTTTTGAATAGTCTATTTTGAATAGTGCTGTTTATAAACATGCTCGGTGTTAACGCCTAATAAATTCTCGTGACTATTTTGCAGACTTATGTGCAAGATCTCATGTTGAAGGAGTCAAAAATGATTTATGAGCTTATTGCCGTGGAAAGGGGACACTTTTACGTATGCGGCGACTGCAAAATGGCTGAAAACGTATACCAGACACTCAAATCCATTATTCAAGAGCAAACCGGCATGAACTCTACACAGTCGGATAACTTTATGCTGGGATTGCGGGTATAATAATTATAGATTAAACATAGTTTATCTAGTATAAATAAGTATATCCATAGCTCTGCGGAATGTCATCGAGAAAACAATAATTATTATAAATATTTACATTAGGTAAATAATCGACGTACATGTACATTTTTTTTTTTAAAAAAAGCTTTTCCTTTCAGTACATGGAATTTATTTAATAGTATGAAATTTATATTGCTTTAAAAGAGAAACACTATTTTACTAACAAAAAAATATATAAAAAGTAATAACGGAAATTAGAATTGTTTACCCTCCATTAGACTAGTCATAAGCCTAACAGTTTTTCTTCTAGTCATAGGTACTTTGAACAACCATTATGCTTATTTTCAAAAAACCACAACTCGTAAACCGTTTGAGATAAATAAAATAAAGGATGCTAAATTTGTTTGTGAATATACAAGAGTTTATTTGACTTTGTTAAAACATTTCACTTTATCGGTATTTTGTACTAATAAATTACAAAATACTAATATTACTATAATATACTTTTAATACTATAATATTTTCTACCTGATTATTACATATTATTAACCTTAGGTTTAGACGTCAATGAATTCAAGGAATAAACCTGCACGATTTGTTTGCATTTTAATTTATAGTCATGATATAATACGTAGAAAGTTAATTTAACCTTATTTTGAAAACTCTTTGTATTTAATGAAGTGATTACTATCAACAGTTAAATACAATTTTACCTTATATAGTTATATTCAAAACCATATAAATAAATATATAATGAATATATGAAGTGATGAGAACCAAAAGGGTACACCGTACAAGACGTGACCATTTTTCTAATGATACATTTATATACTTGCACTTGTTTTACAATTTTTCTTGGACTTTTGTTGGATATACAGTTATTAATTTGTAAAATTATCTTGTAAATTTTATAAAAATAATTTGTACCATTTTTTGATTCTCACCACTTCATATAAACCATAAACAATATTATGTAAGTTTGTAGAATAGAAATTATTTGAAAAACATTTGACTTTGTAGGACGACAACCGTTACCATGAAGACATATTCGGCATAACTCTACGAACGGCCGAAGTGCATCACAAGTCCAGAGAGTCGGCTCGAATACGAATGGCTTCCGAGTCGCTTCCATAGCGTTCAATTTGGCCTACCATAGGCAACATGCTAGCTAAGTCGCTAGCCACCATTCAAGAATTTAGAGATAAGAAATTGTAATTAATTTTCGTCGGCGTTTGTACATAAATAACAGTATTATGTTTATCAATATTATATTAATTGATTTGAAACGACCCCCGACGTTCGGACGTTGATTGTGTACCGTGTAATTATTTAAGCTACTCACCATAGTCAGCTGCCACCACATCTACCGCACACTTGGTGTATTTGCATAGTGTAATAAAAATATTGAATTTTTATCGCTTTTGCCGATGCGATGGGTTCCCGTTTAGAATAACTAATAGCCGCTATAACTTAATTTAGAAAGGCGCGGAAAGAGTGATGAAACACTTCGATTCGTCTGGCAAAAACATATCTATTTAAATAACCCATACCTAATATAATATAATATAGCTAACCGATTAACGACCTTTCAAAATAATATCTATAAAACTTTGAATGGTCTATAATGCGCCGGCAAAAAGATCTTTTAACTATTACTAATTAAAAAATATACTTTTTAAAATGACCCATATAACAAAAAATTAGCATATTTAAATGTGATCAAACAATACCTATTATAACTTATTATTAAAGAAAAACGAATACCGCCATTTGTTATTATGCTTAGATTGTTACTTGGATTGAACAGATTAAAATAGGATTGAATCTTGATTTATGAGCAAATTACCTTAGACTAGCATAAAATAAATTATACTTTCTAATCTGATTTCCCATTTGGGAGGGTCTCGAGTGTATATAACACACCTACTTTTAAAAATATATCAACTTCACAAATTGCTTACGTTCCTTACACTAAGTTACATAAGAGGAGATACTTACTTAATAGTATTTTTGTTATTAAAGCCCTTCACTTTTTAACAAAATTGTACCCCCCTAAAAACCCCATTTTAAAATGTTGGCCCTTTTTGATCGAATAGATTATATTTGTTTATTGAATACATAATCGTATATAATTAATAAAAGTTTCTTTCCAATTCAACTCATATTGTAATCGAAGTGAAATATTTTATTTTTAATAAGCACAGCCTTTAGGCTATAATAGATAAAAACATTCAGATATTCATAACTTTTATTTATTTATATAATTACAATATATATTCCTATATTATTGTCGGTATGTGTACAAATTGTATTATTTTCTAATAAATTGTTTATTACTTACTATTATATAAAACTATACAGAGCCTTGTGAACATTTTTATCTGTTATTTATAGACTTAAATTGTATACTAAGTAACATACAAAATAAAATAACTGTAATACTAATAGCTAATTAACTTAAATTTTAGCTTTTTTTAATCTTCTTAACTTATTAATAATTTTTATTTTATTTTTTAATTTATTTATTTGTCTGATTGAATATATATGTTATATACTATAGTATTGTATATTCAATTTAAGTAGATTAAAGTTTATGTAAAACATACAAATAAATAGACGAGTAGCGATTCTAATAAAAAATGTTTTCTAATATTTCATAGTTCTTTTAGATATAATTACACTCGTCAGTTATCATATTAATCATTATGTTACAAAATATTTATTCATTTAACATAATCAAGTTATTAATAAAATATTATTAATTCGTTAATTCGTATAAAAAAATGTTCTGTCTATAATATTATAATGTTTGTAATTCGTGTTATATTGAATTATAATTTATCTTGTTATTACTTATATATAGTAATATTCTACTCTACTAGAAAGTCAGGCCATCATCTTTAAATACTTATACTTTTATTTTATTTTTTTGATAAATCAATCGTTAGCGAAAAATCGTATGTTTAAATACACAAAATATACAAACTTATTATTATTTTAATACCTTTTTCATATTAATAGATGCACATTAACGACTATCTGTTAAAATATTATAGGTATTATAAATTATATGTTATTAAAAGAACCAAAAAAAATTATAAGAACATTATAATATGGTCTCCATTATGTTGACTTTTACTTTAAGGGAGACGCTAATTCTAAGTATAAAACAGTATTGAATACCTGGCATATTTGTTTTATTTTTTATTATGCTATACAGTATACACCATACCTACAATTCAATGTAGAAGTTCAATGCCACTCTAAATTGTTTGTGTTGGAGGGATTATTCTTTTATAAAGGTATTTTTTTTTTATCTCAAAAGCTTGACTTTAAATCCATTAAAATTGAAAGTATTTTTGTTAAGGACTCTGCACAGAGGAGAGGGAAGATCTGTCTTCGCTTAAGTTTAATTGTTTTGATACGAAAATTAAATTAATTTTGCTCAGTTGTTTTCAATTACCCCACTTGACCCTGGCATAGACAGTTGATAATATTAATTGAATTTTATATTACGATTCAACCGAAACAAAATTAGAACATGCATTATATAATATATTTAAATTAAAAACAAACCTCTAGCAGCAACAATAATAGTACCTATAAAATAATACCTATACAGCATACCTATACCTGTATAGTACCTATACAGCACTTGTATTGTTAAGGTTAATTGAATTCAATAGTAGTAGTAGTATCATTGATATTTTTACTTTAAGAATAAAAAAACATTTGAACTACTACTATTATAAATAATTACAGAAAATTAGAAAAGGATAAGTCATTACGTTCTATAAATTAGTTTGCTAAATGTCTAAATTGCACAATACATATATTTTTAAAACGAAATAACTTAACTGGAAAATGGAACTTGAACATTTTTTAGGAAATGTATCAAAGTTATGAAAGTATTTATATGATTAGGTATTATATGAAAACGGATGACAAATATAGAACAATAGAAAATATTGTCAACGCTTACGCAAATCATAGTACACCTAGTTCCTAATAAATTGGAGAGAGTATGTTTAAAAAAAAATTCAAATCTCTGTTTTCTTGTGTTTTTTATTTTTTTTTTTATATACTATAAAATGCTGAAGTTTAATATGTGTTAGCTGTCGAGGTCATTTCGCTGCTTAAGGAACTCAATTATTGAATTACACACAACTGTTGTGTGTAAGATAGTTGTAACTATATCGAGGCAATGACAATCATTTTACAAATTACAGTATAATAATATAGTAGTTCATTATATCAGTTTTAGCTGTATACCATTAGGAACTGACAATGGATACTAGTATTTTTTTTAAGGTACCTGCAAGTCCCACTAAGTCCACTTTAGGGTTAATAGCTATTTTTTCAATGTATACACATTATTTCAATACAAATTTAAAAAAAAACTATAGTCTAAAGTTTAAACACTAAACTTATGTAATACACGGATGATCTTACGCACAAAAAAATAATTGCAATCAGTTTCTTATAAAGCCAGTGCGAATTTATATTAAATCACTTCCATAACTCACTGCTATAATAATATAATAGTTACCACTTTACCTATAGGTACTTATATAATAAGTAATATGATCGTTTAAAAATGGAACTACGCCAGATCTGGATAAGATTTTTTTACCGCTGCACCTATTTATTATGCTGATGAGCTGAAAGCTCGTAATTTTCGTTAAAACTTTAAAAGCTCCCGTAGAATATAAGCAATGCAACCTTATACCACAACCATATATATTTTCTTTTATTTCGAGTATCAAATAGCTAAATAAAACGACAGTCTTATATACATTTATATATAATCACCTCTATTATTTATAATTTAAGAAAGCTAAAAACCACAAACACGTACATTTATTTTTATAACCGTAAAATAAAATTCATTCAATAAAAAAATAATCTCCATGGGTAGCAAAATCCAAAAGGAATTATTTAAATTCTAAATTGAGCTCGATGTTTTTCCTGAATAAGTGCCAGTTAACATTCACCAGACAGTGAAGTATAAACAGTCTATTTTGTAAAATCCATGGATTCTACATGGATATTTTGGGTACATAAAACTGAAATAAGACAATTGATTATCACTGGAACCCGAAAAAGGTATAAAGGTGAATTCAAATGTTAATCTAAATTTGATCAAAATACTACAACAAACCAATATGGTTAATTTTGCTAAATACAATTATTCTTACAGTTTAAAAAAAGAAGCACAAAAAATAAACAAGTCAAATTGTAATTTTTATAATATTAAAAATCCAAGTGTCGTGGAGAAGGCGTGAGTTTGAACTACTAAAATCCGTCAGAAAAAGAAGCGTTTGATAGCTTGTATTTATGTTGACACTTGCCTTCATTCGTGGGAAAACCATTAAAAGAAAGTCGATGGCCTCACATTGCCATTTTTGTAACAGTGACGATGGCGTCTCAAATGCATGCTAAAAATTTTTAAATTTTACATTTATTTTATGATTTTGTTTACGTCTAAAAATGGTTGCCATTAGACACAGGTTAAGTTATGCATTTACAATTACATTTTCTATTGTCTTTCACATACAATATATGACTTTGTTTTGGTGAGAAAGCTTTTTGCATTATAACGAAACAATATGCATATATAATTTATGTACCTACTCACTCAGGAACAGTTATTTTATCAGGTTTTAGAACTGATTCTACTACTTTGATCTATTGCACTTGTAAAGAATTACAAGTCAATTCACACCATCGCGCCGACAAGTACTCGTTTAGAGCTTTCCAACAATTTTGAATGTAATATAAGGTACTAACATAGACTATTATTAAAAAATACTTGACTAAGTGACTACCTATCTATTTTTTTATTAATAATAATTAATAAATGTTTCCATTTGCAAATGCCGGTAAGTGGCGACCGGAGCTTCTGAAACAAATTCTTATTAAAATTACATCTTTAATTTATGTTTGCTTATTCTCAGAGTTGTGTTGTATGGTACAATATAGTGTGTCGTTATACTCGTTTCCAAACCACCTATGAGGTAGAGTATTCGGTTCGTTTTTTTTAACGTGGTATCTCCGTCTACGATGATGTTTCAAATTTTGTTTAACGAAAACCACTAGCAATGTGTGGTTGGGGCGTCTCAGTGAAGTGAAATAGTCAGTATTTAATTGATATTGTGTGTGTAGTGTGCTTTACTCAATGTTTTTAAAGATATTAAGGGTAATGAAGATAACGACAATGGGGGTATCAAGAAGAATATCCTACAGGATCACGGGAGAGATTGAATCCGATTTAACGGCTTAGGCGGCCATATAAGTCTATGGTGGACTTATGCATCGAAGTCGATCCGGGCATACTTAAGACTAACTTAATACTACAGAATAAGACATCCGGGTATCGACAGTTTGAGCGGCCACGTAACAGACTATGGTGGACTTATACATCGATGTCGATCCGGGCATACTTAAGACTAACTTAATACTACAGAATAAGACATCCGGGTATCGACAGTTTGAGCGGCCACGTAACAGACTATGGTGGACTTATACATCGATGTCGATCCGGGCATACTTAAGACTAACTTAATACTACAGAATAAGCCATCCGGGTATCGACAGTTTGAGCGGCCACGTAACAGACTATGGTGGACTTATACATCGATGTCGATCCGGGCATACTTAAGACTAACTTAATACTACAGAATAAGACATCCGGGTATCGACAGTTTGAGCGGCCACGTAACAGACTATGGAGAACTTATGCGTAAAAGTGGAACCAAGGAGGTTAACCAGCAGGATAACGGGATAGGTATTGATCATTTTATTTACAAAAAAATATTTTTGGTATAATTATTTACAATGTGTTGTTATTTAAATAACTGGACACGAATTTTAAAGTAAGTAATTAATTTTTACAAAGAAGAAAACTCAAGGAAATGTTGGTAGTGCTAAAATGTATACTTACTCCAAACAATAAATAATAATTTTGCGGTTGCTCACAATAGTTTATACGGAGAGAACTCAGATCAAAATGACATCATCGTACATAGACCTAATCCACGCAGCACTTGATTCGTGACGAGCTAACTCAGTACCCCGAGTATTTTTCAGATATTTAGCGTAGGTAAAATCCAAGTAAAACCAGAGTACATATCAGAAATGTATCGATTGACTAGTTAAAAAAAATTCTAATAACAATACTCTCTTTTTATAAATTTGTTTGTGGAGTAGAATATACCAAATCAAGCACTATAGAGGGTCTAGAATTAACAACCCAGTCACATAAATAAAGAGTTTTTCAATTTTATCTCGTATCCAATTTGCGAGAAGACGATTTTACCGAATAAAGAAACGTAAATACAATTTTTTTGACTGTATAGTTAAATCTGGACCCTTATATCTGTATATAATTAAATTACTATTAATATTTAAAATAAATGTCTACATGTATTGCTTACCGGTTACTACGTATTATGTATACTTATTTGGAATTTCACGATCAACCGCCACATCATCATTATGTGAGCTTAACAGACGACGAAGACCCAACGCTGCCATCATGAGATAAGATGAGATGCGTAAATCTTAGGATGGCTTCGGATCTTTTTGGAATAACTTGAAGGTATGTTCAAACTTAGTGTACACTATGAGTTATGACAGTAATGTTTAAGTCGTTCAAAAAAAGTAATTGTTGAAACGTAAATTATAACTTCAAACCGCTTCGACTCTTTTAATATATTATAAATGTACATTTGTTATTCACTGCTTGTTATTAAATAAATAAGCAAAAGTATACATAGAAACGATTTGATTTCAACCGTTAAAAACGCACATTGGATTTTGACCAGCAAAGGTTTGCAAATTTTGTGTTTAAGGAGATCATATTTTATATGTTTAATATAGAGTTAAAGATATATATGATAAATCTTAAATGTTGTCTTCAAGGAGATCATACTCTCAACTATTATTAACGCAAATATAATTCTAAAAGTTGTATACAAAATATCCTGTTTTAAATAAGAGTATTTCCTTAGTCAGGGTTGCAAAAAGCAGTAACCTAAAATTAAAGGGTACTTTATTTCAAGACCAATATTCAATTATAGTTTTTAAAATATTAAGAGTGATTATGATCTCCTAAAACTAAACTTTTCTAAAGGAACACTACACGACTCCCGATGATTTTGAAATAGATAACCGTTATATTTCTTAAGGGAATTAAAAACGGACGGTTTTGAGGAGTTTTAAAAAAATTGTGAGACTTCGTCTAGTCAAATTTCAACTCTGTAAAAAACCAATAATTTGTAGGCCTCTTTATTGGGTTATGTTAGAAACCGATTTTCATTTCAAAAGGTCAAAAGGTTTTTTTGTAATTGAAAAAATAAAATTTGAAAATCATCCAATATTAAAACGCAATCTTTTTCACATAAAAAAATAAAAAATCAACCAGAACCTAGTAAAGTATAGCCAAATAACTCATATATCTTGACAGATTTGAAATCAGACCATCCTATGTAGTCACTAGTCAACACTTTTTGGTTGCAGTAGTCGTGTTTTTTGGTCTAAAATGTAAAAAAAAAATTCAGATTAACTTTAAGAAGTATCTTAGAAGTATCTTTAATATTTTCTCTTGATGAAAAATTCACGATTTCAATTAAAATATGGTTAGGATCTGTTAATGAGACCAGAATAAAATAATATTATATTAGAAAACCTATTAGGATGGAAAAAGTCTATAAGGCTATAAAATACTATAAGTACAACTTATAGTATTTTATTGCAACTTGCAAGGTTAAGTTTAATGTCAATACTTCTAATAAATAATGGTTAATTAGTTCAGAATACTTACAATACCTGTATTGAATTTCAACCACTATTTGTCTGCCGGTGTTTAACATTTTCAAAAGTTATTGTACATAGTTATTTTTAAACAATTAATACAATCATTTGGCTATAGAGATATTAAAAAAACAATAGGATGGTTTAAAGTTCACAAATTAATTAAACTTTGACATACTATAAAAATAGAAAATTATTTAAGTAATAACATAACTGTTGTATTACCAATATTTTATTGGTTTCTAGGGAGATACCTATTTGTTCAAAATATGTTTAGTTAAACTATATTGTAAATACTTTAATATTACTAGTATCACTTAAGTACTACTTAATATAGACTAGGCGATAATAATCATTTCATTTCAGCCAATTTCTTACTGTACAGGTTTATTCTGAGCTATATACAATTACAAAGAAAAGCGAGCAGTACCTTACAGCAGTAAATTTACGGTCCCACTTGATCGCCATTATCTCGTAAGTAACAAACATTTTGTTTTTTAAAGTTATTGAAATCAAACTATGTCCAAAACCATTTTGATTTTTTTCTGTTACAATTCACTTTATTTTTTAAATCTCATGAAGCAAAAATATGCATTAATTAAGCATAAAGTTTAAAAGAATAACAAATGTTATCTTTAAAAGGTTAACATTTTTTAAACAAAATAATACCTTAAAGTTTATTTAAGGGTAAAAAGTAATATATTTGAATTTAAATTACAAATAAGGCTAGTTTTAAAAAAAAAAAAAAATATTTTTTAATAATTGAACAGAACTTTTATATCCATGCAATAGCCATAGCCTATTACTCAAAGTAAACACCTTAATGAGATTCAAGTGTCATTTAATAATTGAATATTTGGTCCGAATAACGTGCTAAGGACTAATCTTTTAATTTTACAGTATTAAAGAAAAACAAAATCGTTACAAACAGATTTGATAGGTTCCATATTATTTGTATGATGATTATAGAAGGTAAGAAAATTCTTGGAAGTGTTATGAATTATGATTCTTAAAATAGGTTTAGATTGATTCATAGCTTAATATTTCTCAAAAATAATGAAAATTGGAAGAGGTTAACAGCAAGTTATTTAGACAGAACCTATTAAAATAAACCAGTTTAATAAATAAATAATTTCAATTAAAAATCACCAAATATAATATTTTAGAAATATAAAATATCAAACTAATTTAAATGTTTTTTTTTTAGGAAATTCCTAACAAAGTGTATACATTGTAAACAATACATATTTTGTCTATTTTTTCATCAATTATGTTCCGTAATCAAAATTTTCATAATATTCACATGTTAAAATAATATTGATAACCTTATTTAAGTAATGAAGATAAATGAGTACATGAACATAAAAAATTTAACAACAATCATCAACAATCCTACATCAATAGAACTTTAGAAGAATAACTTTAAAGTGCAACTTTAAAAAAACAAAAAAAAAAACATAAAACCATAAATATATTTAATTATTATAATTATAATTCAAATAAATACCATTCATACTAACACATAATTACACATGTGATCTTTCCATAATTACACAGAGTTGGTACTAACACTTTGACGAAGAAATTAAGAATAAATTATGTCTTCAATTTTTTTTTTTAATTTAGCTAATATCCAAAAAAAAAAAAGAATAATGAAAAACATAATTATGCTACAATTTTATTGTAATATATTATTAGTACAATATTCTTATGTGATAATGAAAGTAAAAAAAAAAATTATATTAACAGTCCTTAGTTCTAAACGAAGTCAATTTGTATTATACGTGATTTTATATACCATAGAGCTTTAAAGTTCTGTCCATACTAGTTGATGCGATGAACTGTGAATTCTTTCCAAACCTAATGCCAGTAGCCAATGCGGTATGGTCGTTGAACACTTTTAATTCTTGCCATTGCTTACACATGTAAACACTAAAAATAAAACCTATATTAGTGACGTTACACGAAAAATACTTGTCATTATTTGTTATACAAAATATGAGTATTTAGTTTAAGTGAAATAGGTTAGGTTATCAGCAATAATGTTAAATCTTGCTCACCGAACATCAGTTCCGGCAACTCCGAGATAAGTCCCACTTTGGTCGAAACACAAGTCTTTTATTTCATATCCATCGTCCATGACAAGTGTCTTGAAGTTCTTTAATTTTCTCAAATCCCAAAGTTTTACACAACTGTCGTCAGCCGATGTGGCAAGGTAGTAACCATTTTCAGAAAAGGAAATTGCAGTAATAGGTCCAGAGTGACCTACATTTCAATACAAAATAACATTATTAGTCCATATCGTACTGATGTCAAACGCTAATCTGTCTTCTAAATTAAGCTTATTATACCTATAATAGGTTTGTTTGTTTTAAAAAAAATAATGTATGCACTAATAATGTAGAGGAGGTGTAGGTTGTACCGTTTTTGGTGTTTTTGACTTTACACTGAAAATCTGACACCGACACCTCCGTTTCCGCAGGTGAGGGAAATGTATACACCAAATCAACACCCTATAGCGTACAATTTTTGTTAAAATGAACAAACAATCCCCTTATTGTGATAAATATAATTTAAAAACTAAAATATAAAATTAAAACCAAAATTAAAGCCAAATGTTAACACTTAAGACACAAAACTGTTGTTTTATACAGTCTGAGGTTTTCTAAACTTGAGACACTAAATTACGAGATAAATGTCAAACGTTAATAGTAACGTCCATTTGTGAGTCAATACTTTTAATATTTTAAAACAATTTTTTTCCCTTATAATTAAAATAGTCTTCTCATTATACTTATTTAATTTATTATACCTGAGAAAGTTGCAACATTTGACTGTTCTTTTAAATCCCAAATGACAACGTGAGAATCTGAAGTACCCGTACCAAAAATAAGACCATCAGGATGGAATTGTCCAGTAGTTAAAGTGTTATTTGACGTTTGACTTGATACCTAATAAATATATAAGAACAGAGTTAAAAGAAACATAGTTAATACAACTTTATTAATTGAGATTATAGTTGGAAAAAGTTAGTACCTTAGTCAATAATTTTCCAGTGCGTATGTCAGAGAATGCCCAATTTTGATCAGCAGAAGTTGACAAGATGTAGTCACCAGTTGGGTGCAACGATACACCCGTCACTGAACCTTCATGAGCTCTAATTATTTGAGATAGAGGATTAGCAGCACCAACATTCCATACTCGTATAGTTGTATCTGGTGAGCCGGTTATGACAACATCCTAAATTTTAAATATAGTTTTGTAAATATAGCTGACAAGTATTACAAATATTGCTTAGGTAATCTTTTTTATTTACTTCATTCGGATGATAAATAACTCTAGTAACTTTCTTGGTATGTCCTTTTAAAACTGCAACAATTTGTTCAGTATCTTTATTAAAAACTGTTGCGTTTTTATCATTTCCTCCTGTCAAAATTTTGCTAGTATCTTCACTGTGAATGTCCAACGACAATATTCCTGGTACGCTAGCACTATGAAGACCCTAAAAAATTACATTATTGTCATCAATAATAAATCGTTTTTACTAGATTAAAATGTATTATTTTTTGTATTTCTTTACTGGATGTGATGCCAATGTTTTGAATGCTTTCAATGATTCCTGATCCATTAAGTCTTCGGGTACTGTACGGCCACGTTTCTTCCTTTCTTGTGTCAAAACTGTAGCCTTGTCTTGCAATTTCTTAATTATTTCATCAGTTATGCCCGCTTCTTCAGTTGGTTGATTAGGTACTCCAGCAGCTTCCATGGCGATAGCCTATAAATCATTTAATTAAGTTAATTATTAAAATCATGTATAATATCGTTTAAACCAAATAAACTGTCACTTACAGGTTGGGGTATAGTAGTTGGTCCAGCATTTGCAGCCGTGTCATTAACAGATATGCCTGCTTGAGGTTTGAGTGTAGCCAAAGCCTCACGAGCAGCTGTTACTTCCTTAGTCAAACGTCCTATCACACGACATGCAGCGTCATGCTGATACAAAGCATGACTTAATTCCTGTCTAGCTGTTTGAAGTTGCTGTCTTTGTGTAAATGCATGTAACATCACTGCGTCCCATTCGTCTTGCAACATCTTTAGTATAGCCGGTATACTAGTACCAGTTACAGGTTTTGGTTTTACAATTGGAGCAGCTATAATTTAAATTATAAATAAAAAAGACACATATAAATAAAAAGTGTACTCTAAATTTTTATTATCAGAATGGGCGAGCTGTCTAAAAGTGTGATTTCCTAGAACTGGTGCCACGCAATCTGTGTTGAATATGGTGCAATCAAAACTTGGCTGCACAGCTTTATTTGGATTATTAAACTACATGTAGAAAGTGGTCGCATGATGATCATGTAAATTTTACTATTTCAGTTTTTCAACCCTTTTGTAAAGGTTGTTTATTTCAATTGAACACCGTACTTATTATTTAAACTATTTAAACTATACTTATTTATTAAAAAGTTTTTCACGTTTTGAATTTTCCTTTAATTTTGCATTAATGTCCCAAAATAAAAAATAAGTCTCTTCTTTAGGACAAAATCAAGGAAGAGGAACAATTAATTAAAAACAATTTAACCTTAAATGGTTAAAAAAAACCTATTAACCAACGTTAAAAATAAAAATTCAACCCACAAATTATTCCAAAAAAGAATTTAGGAAGGATTTTTTTTTTTAATAGAAAAATATTTATACAAAGATTTAACTAAATTTAGGGAGTTTTTCAGACTCAGCTGTGATCAATTAATTTACATACTAAATATCATAAAAGAATTCATTTCATAAGATTGAATAAAAATTGTTTTTCTTACTATTAACCAACTTTTGTTTTTTAAATATTATTAATTTTGTTGTTTTTTTCATCTTAGTAGGTCGATAAGGTTTTTATCTTTAAAAATACACACTACAATTAGAACTGTTCATATAAAAAAAAAAATTTTTAAATAATTTCTACGGGTCTAAATTATTAAAAAAAAAACCATGGTTTGTAATTTTCATGTGAATTTTTTATATCTACTAAGTTTAGAGTAGACACATATTTATTTTTCTAGAAACACTAAAACTCAAATGAACGCACACACATTTGCGTCTTGACACCTTCTGGAGTGGTTATTACTACACTGCTATAGCCGTGCGTGGCAGTGGCACGCTGCTGTGGTGATATTAAAAATCAATTTTATTTAGTCATAGCTAAAGCAATATTCACACGGCCGAAATTCTGATCGCTCCTGGTCCGACACACAGGTGCACGACACCAGTCTCATTCTAGGGAATTACACCTTAAAACGCTAGGTTAATTATTATATAAAATGGGCATTATTTATTTTAATTCCTACAAAAAAAAGATGAGTCTGGAAAATAATCCTTATTTTGATTTTTTTTAACATTTTATTAATTTTTATTTTTATTAGAATAATATTAGTCTAATAAAAATAATAATATTAGTATAATTATTATTTTTTTTATTTTTAAGAAACTACGAGTTTTAAACTGTAATCGAGAATCAGGGTTATCTTTTACATATAAAAATACCATACTTACTTTTAATATCCACTAATTGTTCTACAGTTAATTCTTCTCCATTTACTGGGTCAGTATTATTTTCTTTAATGTATTTTTCGATCAGTCTTCTTTCAAAAACTGAACCCGACACAGGTGAAACAACTGGATGTTCAGGGACTTCATTGGAAACTAAAAATTTAAATTTTTAAATAAAAATACTCAAATATGAATATCTAAAATGCAAATAACATTAATTGATAAAATGTCAGATGTGGTATAAATTATATTGATTTGGATTACTCAAATCTTCAATAATTATTCATTATTTACTCAAATAAATCATTTCATACAGTACACAATTAATAATTAATTTGTATAATACATAATACTAAGAAAAATAGTTGATGAAAGCTTAGTAAAGAACAGACAGGAATTAGTTAAGGTTATCATTTAAGTCAGATATACAACATTATTATTATTAATATTTCTTATTAGATTACTAAATTAATTTTAAAAATATTATATTAGATCCCTGGATAAATTTGATTAAAAAAAATTGTTCAAATAAAATTATTATCATATATTTAGAGTTCAAACATTTAAGAAGTGTATAAAAAAAAGTTTCAAGCTCTATTTAAATTATAATATGCATTTTCGAATTATAGTTGATAGAATAAAACATTTGACGTAACCTAAGAAATAGAACAAAAATTGTTTGATAACAATAATTCAACTTGTACGTTGTATTAAAGTAAAGCTAGGTAATTTATCTATCTAGGCAATATCAGGCTGAATGGTTCATTTGAGACTAGCTTTTAAAATACCTTTGAGTTTAATATTTTAGTAACTTACTGGCACAAATTAGCGACATGGTTTAGTCTTCTAAAGCCTGCAAAATGATATAAACACTCGTTAATTTTAAGTATGGAAGTACCGACGGTGTAATTTACGGAAATATAGTAGTTCAAATGTCCTTTGGAATAAATAATATTAGACAATAGTATTTTACTTTACAAAATCACAATTGTATAATATATTTAACTTAAATAGTTTAAAAAAAACAAATTGTTCGATAATAAAATATTACAATTCGTAAATAGTATTAGGTAATGCAAAACACAAACGAGTAAAGTGACAACAATATTCTCATTTCTCGTCGGCCGAACGCTTCAACCACAACATAACCTTAATGTTAGAAAAAAGTAGAGTTAAGGCGGGTCATCGATGACTACATCAAACTATACGTAACACATCGGTGAAACGTATTGATAACATATCGAAATCAGATAACATTAAAAATTTTACAGAATTAGTAGCAAAGAATAATAACAAAATGATTTATTATATAATATTAAAGTAGAGAATTTTATGTTCCACATTCATTATTCTTCGAAAATAAATGTTTAAATTGGCCATTTTATAAGACAAGCCGGGCAAACATTCCGAACAAAAAGTAATTTTTTTGTGTTATTCATTTCTAATCACAAGTTGTAAAAAACATTCCGTCATTTGCTATTGATTAATATGTAGCGTTTGGGTTATTAAGAGATAATCTAAGCTAATAAGTACGTCAGTCGTACTTCTTTACCATAAGTAGTGTTAAAAACCTAACTTTAAATTACATGTATGTTCAATATTTCCTAAAATATAATTTGTTTAACTACAAAAAAACATACCCACCCAGTACTTGATAGCATTGGGTTATCTATCCACAGAACATTATGGCAACTACTAGTAATGAATCAGATTCATCCAGGAAAAATACTGACAATAAGGATACCGACAACAAAGATGAACAAAATAACATGTTTGAGTGCAACATATGTTTGGACAATGCTAAAGATGCAGTGGTCAGTGTTTGCGGTCATTTATTTTGGTGAGTATTATTATAATAACTTGTTATTTTAGTTATATTAACTCAAGTACAACATTGATTTTAAAACATATCGATAAGCATTTCTATGCAGAAAAGCGGTGGCTGATATGTAATTTATACTTTATAGGGTACCAATCTTGATGGTAGGAAGCCTACGCCCTACCTTGCATTGGTCGCATTTTTTGTGCTTAGGATTGTTTATCTGTATATTTTATAATCGCTGATTTGTAAAAATAAATGACAATTTAAAATGTCTAAAATATTTTAGCTGGCCTTGTTTACATCAATGGTTAGAAACTAGATCTAGTCGTCAAGTATGTCCTGTTTGTAAAGCCGTTATTAGTAAAGATAAAGTTATACCGATTTATGGCCGTGGAAATACAAAACAAGAAGATCCTAGGTAAAATATTTTTTTACTTATTAACTAGATTATTGATAAGTTTATTTTTACTATTACTTTACTTAGCAGGAGACATGGGCTTCCAAATATTGACCTAACAACACAACTTAATAAATAAACATAGTTAAAAAATTGTTTTCATTAAAACATAAACTAACATTTTTTATTTTTATATTAAAAAATATGTTTTAGTCTAGAATATTTTTAATGCTATAACAAAATATGCTTTGATATCAATTTTAGAACAGTCTTTAATGTAAAATATTTTAAGTTGTAATATCTAAACAAGTAACAAAATACGAGATCTCGTTTCATCACATTATACCAACTCGCACTTGTGTATTCAATGTATTTATTGAGTGTTGCAATTAAAATTAAAAATTGTTTTCATTTTTTTTCTGTTCAGAAACAAAGTTCCGCCGAGGCCTGCTGGTCAAAGAACTGAACCAGATGCTACTACAGTAAGTTTTTTAAATAAAATATTATGTTTTTACAACTTTTTAAACCGTTATCTATATTTAAGGGTTTCCCTGGATTTAATTTTGGAGATGGTGGATTTCATTTATCATTTGGAATTGGAGCTTTTCCATTTGGCTTTTTAACATCTTTTAACCTCTCAGATCGTCCTCATGGAGGTAAGTATACTAAGAATTATAACTTATAAATGTGATCTCATATAATTTGTTAATAATTTGAAGTTCCAGGAGGCCAACTACAACAAGATGATCATTACTTGTCTAAGCTGTTCTTATGGATTGCAGTAATATTTATAGTTTGGCTGTTATTGGCATGAGATTATAACTACCTTTCACTAATATATTGTATATTATCATTTTAAACTAAAATACAGATTTATTCATGGCGATATTTAAAAATTTTAAATATAAACTAAATTTTGTAAACTAGTAGTTTTGTTTACAGAAAATTTTTTAAACATCATCATTATTTGGTACTTAGTTAAAACTCATAGCTGTGATTACTTTAGTACATGTTTATAGTAATATTGAGTATTGATTAAAAGAAATAATAATATCAGTTAATAGTATGACTTCAAATGCAATGATGCCAAATAAATTAGTAGTCGCCTTGATTATTCTTCAAAGAAGAATTTAGTAGGTTTTAATTTTGTTTTGTGGATGTTGGAGAAAAAATTCTTAATAATTATTTTACTATAATATTACTACAATTACAAATATATTCTATTTAAGTACACTACATGTTTTTTATGTTAATGGTTATTTTATTACTACTTTATCTATACTGTATATTGTTGGTCTTGTATTTCATAAATTAAAGTTTTTATCGTTCTTCACAACTATGTTGTTTGTTAAATTATTTTTATTATTTTATTTAGACATTTACTACCTATATTGTTTTATTATTCACTTCTCACTCCCTGTTGAGAACCCTGTTCAAACATGTTTTTTTTAAATTATTTTTTTTTGTCTAATACGTTATTCATTAATACATACTACTATATAATATAATAATCTATTACCACAATTGAGGTTTTCTGGTTTTGTGGTTTATTTTAACTACATTTTTTTATCACACTACCTAATGCTATTCTACTTTATACTATTTTATATTTAATTCTTTATTATTTTTAAAACACATTTCATATAAAATAGAATACTTAATCAACTATCAATTTAATGTTGAATGATTTAAACAAATTATTGAGTAATGTTACACTAATATGAAGATATTATATTTTCGTTAATGCAGTAAATACCAATTAAATTACATGTGCATTTCCAAAATTTGTATTATGAAATTACTATTGTATGAGAAAATATAAATGCAAATTTTTGAATCCTTTTGGGAATTATAAAATTATTTATTTCGATATTTTCGCTGCATATTAATTATGATTATATATACAGGATGATACAAAATAATAAGTAGGTTTCAAATATCTGTGTTTTCTAAACTGTACAAGCTACAGAGCTGTGCGACCTCTTAAAATAACATCAAGTTTTTTTTTAAAAGAAGATCTCGCCCTTCATTTATGGCCTCCGAGGTCACCTGACATCACAACATGTGATTTTTTTGTGGGGATACGTCAAGGGACAAGTATTGAAGATTTGAAGGCAAGCATAACTTTGGCAGTAACTACTGACATGCTCCACAGTGTGGGAGGAATTTGAATACCGACTTGACATTGTTCGAGTTACCCAAGGAAGACACATTGGACATTTATGATTTTTTTTATTTAAAAAAAACATTGAGGTATTTTAAGAGGTCGCGCAGCTCTGTAGCTTGTACCGTTTACAAAATACAGATATTTGAAACCGACTTATTCTTTTGTAATCACCCTGTACATATACATTTCATTAGGTATACAATTAGTTTATCAAGGCGTTTGAAGAAAAATATAAATTACAGTATACATAATATTATTTTAATTATTCATTTCGTCTGCAATACAATACAATACAAGGTCATTGTTTTAAAAAAAATGCGCATGTATATTGTATTACTAACTAATGCCTAATTTTAATGTGAGGAGGACTGAACAGAATTGTATACCCTATTTTAATATATTAAACATATCGTCTGATTTGAGCAAAGTCTGAATTTATGATTTGTGATGTAACAATAAATTAATTAGTAATACAATATACATGTACATTTTTTTAAAACAATGACCTTGTATTGTATTACAGACGAAATAAATAAATACAATTTTGCAAACAACTGAAGTAATATTATGTATATTGTAATTTATTCATATACAAATATATACTTTATTAATTTGGATACAATTATTAAAGTCCCATGTTTATGTGGATATATCCTGGTTTTTGCTTTAAAAGTTAATAATTCAATAGAAAAAAAACATATTTAGATGTTCTACTTGGAAACCGATTTTGACTGATATCTAACTTGTAGACCAACTTCTTTGGTTTCTCCTGTTTCTTATAGCATACGGTTATGCTGCACAACCGTATCCTTAAAATTCTATTCAGACATTTAGTAAAAGGCCATTATTAAAGCTGTTGTTGTTGATGATATAACGGGTTTATTAGCAAAAAAATGAATATTTAATTACAAAGCCAGAGGGAAATATAGAACGTAGTAACTAAAAAGAATGAGTACTAATTTATTTTTTAAAGCCATAGATTAGTCATTCAACTTCGATACTAGATAAGAAGCCTAACCGAGCACAGGTGTGAAAAAGCCACCTGCAATGAAGTGGTAAAAGTTGAAAAATTCACTTCTTCACCCTTAAAATTTGGAAAAACAAAAATACCTACCTATACAAATTTGTTTAAAATTTTCAACTTAAACTAGCTATAATTTCGAAAATGTATTTAATATGTCCCTATAAGTCAAATTATCTCAAATTTAAATTATACCCATTTCCCTCCCTCCTATTAAGGGGGATGCAAATTTTTTATATTTTTTAGCCGTAATTTTAAGACCTTGTGTTCTAGAAAATTTGTCAGGAGTTAGAACTCATATTCATAACATATTAAACGAAGAAAAAATTCGGGGCTATTGTTGTTTTTTAATTGACGAAAAACTGTAATTTTTGCAGATTTTGTACATTTCAACATAAACACGTTAAATCTTAAAAAAAGGATGCTTGGAACTCTCACAAGAAGTTAGGCAACCATATATTCTTAAATCACAAAATATACTAAATTTAATCAATGATTTAATATATCCTGTGGTCGCTGGTCTTAAAAATCCTTATCATATTACATAATATGAATTATCAATCCACCTTGACTTAAATTATTTATCTTGGTGCCATAGATGTTACAAAATAAAAGATATGTCAGTAACAAATGTTATCAATTTTTACTATATTTTGTTGTTTGCTGGTGTTCTCCCGTATAAAATCCATGGCCACCCGAAAAACCAGCGGCTATTTCTCAGTTACTCAAAAGTTGGTGACATACCTGTTTACTTTGTCATGGGGCCATGGCTGATGTTACAATTAAAGATATTTCTTCTTATCATATTTAGCTCTTATCAGTATTTTTACTTTTTGTTATCATCTAAAAATGTTCGTGATATGAGCCATGAGGTATATTTAATCTCACGTTATCGGTTATACAATAACAAAAAACATAATTCAAATGTCAAAACTACAATTGGATTCACCACACTTAAAATTTTAATCTGCATTTGAATTATTCCTCTAGTCAACGTCTTTACGCTTTTACTAAGTTTATATTTACAAAATCCTTATTGTAGGTATTTAAATAATGAAGCGTTCTTTAAATATATCGTTTTCTATCAATAAACAATGGATGAAAACTCGTAAAAAGGTATCTTATGAACAATTATTATAAATTGAATAAGTATATCTTGTGTTGTGAATTTAATAATACCATGTGATTACAATTGCTAGTCAACATTGTAGTCTTCAGTAATGTGCACAATATTATATTGGAGTATATTTGAGATAGGGTTAGTTAATGTGATACGGATAATTCACCAAGCATGTTGAGATTAACTGTCATTTCCTCATAACGCCTGGTAGTTATGTGAGATAAAATATGTTTTAAATTATTTTTTTAGAGTTCAGTTGTATCTAGTGATGTCAAAAACAATCCTATACTAGATGTAACAGCTGAAACACAGTTTCAAATGCTAGAAAAAGTTGTGACACCATTAAGCTCCATGCCATATCAAAACCAACTGCAACTAAAACAACGATGGTCTCACAAAATATCTAAAGAATTTCGAACCAGACTACACAATGCTAAAACACCGATAGTTTTACCTACAGTTTATTCCATTTCACCTTCGGTAAATCTTTAAATTTTAGTTAAAAACAAAACTTATTTTTTTAAATTAATAGCCACAGATAAATGAATACCGAAATAAGGATGAATATAATTTTCGCCCTGGTGTTGATGGAAATCCTAAAACTCTTGGATTCTTTGTGGGTAGCCCATCTATGGGAAATATTTGTTGTGTTCCACCTAATAATTTAATGAATATGAAACAATCTCACAGACATATTGCTCAAGTAACTACTTAGTTGTAAATAATATTCAAAAATATTTGTAACATTCAATTATTGAATAACATTTATGTTATCTGTAAGATTTTTCAAGAATTTGTCAGAGGATCTAATTTGCCAGCAAGTTATGATCATTTAGATGGTGGTTTTTGGCGAGGAATTGTTGTACGAAGTAATTTAAAAGGAGACATTATGTGCATAGTTTTTGCTAATCCTAGAGGATATGCTAATGAAGATATGTTAACTGAACAACAAGAACTTGCTACATATTTAAGTGATAACAACTGTCACATTAATTCATTATACTATCATCCAAGGTATGAATAAATAAAATAAACAATATCATTGTTAAAAAATTTATATGAAAATTAATTTTTTTTTTTTTTTTCAACATTTGTTTAATTAGCTTACATACAAGAAGTTCTAAAGATTCTACGTTCATTCATGTATATGGTGAAAAATATATTTACGAAAACCTATGTGGTTATAAATTCAGATTATCGCCGGATTCTTTTTTTCAAATAAACACATTAGGTGCTGAAGTCTTATATGAGGAGCTATTTAAATTGTTGAAACCAACTAAAAACTGCACACTGCTTGATTTATGTTCTGGAACAGGTATTTTTTCTTTCTTTTAACTTAAATTTATTATATACTAAAAATGATTTATATGGAAAGGTACTATAAGCATTATTGGAAACAAATATGTGCAGTCGTGCATAGGTATAGAATCTGTAACTCAAGCTGTTGGTGATGCAAAGGAAAATGCTAAAATTAACAGTATTACCAATTGTGATTTCATCGATGGCAAAGTTGAATTAGTTAGTAAATATAATTTGTTAGTTAACACAGTTACTTAAGAATAAAATATTAAGTATTCAAATCATGAATTTAGGTGATGAATTATATTTTTAAAGAGTTACATATGACTAGTGATCTATGTACAGTTTTGAATCCTGGTCGAGCTGGAGTTCGTAAGTTTTCTATTTAAAAACCTATTTTAATTGTTTTGTGTTTTATAAAGTTTTAATATTATTTGTAGATCCAAGAGTAATCAAAGCTATAAGAAAAAATTGTTTAATTAATAATCTTGTGTATGTATCTTGTAAAGCTGATAGTCCAGTTACCATGAAAAATCTTGTTGAATTAGCTGTACGAGATAAAACAACTACTCCGTTTGTTTTAGAATCGATCAAACCTGTTGATATGTTTCCTCATACACATCACTGTGAATTGATGTTTTTATTTAGACGATAACAATAATTCATTAATCTTGAGCTGTCCTGTATTTTGTTAAAGTAGTTATTGCGTTTGTTTATTAATAGATATAAATAAACAAAAGTTTGATGATTTTATGTATGTATTCTTGACTTTATGACAAGTAGCCTATGAGATAAGACAATAGTGTGTAGTGCTTATTGATACAACTAACAGCTCAGCTTACTGGGTGAAAAATCGAACGAATGGACTAACAAACTGCCCTAGAATTAGTGAATATGTTAGGAAATAACCTCATCCTCAAAGGCAGTGACTCTTATTAATGTGCCGTTTAAGCTGAAAGTCATGTACAATACAGAATATTTAAAATTTATATTTTTAAGAGAAAAACCCATTGCAGAAATGTCGAAAATAATTTAACATAAATTTATGCAGTGGAAAATTAGTGTAATAATTCCTTTAAAATATAACGTGAATAAAATTAAAACAAGTTTTAAAAAGAATTGTATTCAGACTAGCTTTTAATAGTTTTACATATATTAAATTTTTAAGACATATCATTTTGTTGCACCGTATAGATTAATAGTAAAATATAAAATGTTGACCTTTATTTTAACGTGTTAACTATCATATTTATTAAGGCTAATCATTGGTGGAAATTGAGCCATTAATTTTTATTGCGAATGAATCAACATTCGACAGGTATCTAAAACATTTTTTCATTATGTTGTTTTAACTATTATTTATGGGTAACAACGGTGACAAATTATTATAGCCAGGCGACCAACCCTAATCGTATTCACTCTAATACTAAAAACATAATTTTAAACACATTATGGTTTATTAATATTTATAATATAATATAATTCCTCCCAGCTAAAGATTCGCATTGCTGAGATTATTTGAAAGTGATTTTACCACTTTCAGTAATAATAATTCCTGAAAACCTGTGCTCACCCGATCCCAATATATGCTACTTTCTAGTGATCCATCTCCATTCTACCCCTACCTTTCTGTGATAGTTTTTTAATTGAATATGAAATATTTAGGTACGCATATGATCAAAATGTATCATGTGGTTTATTGTTACGAATTATAATTGAATATATGTTTTACTTTATTCTAGACAGGTGACACATTTATTTTTGCAAATCTGCTTATAGTATTAAAAGACAAGAATTTATTAGCTATATTATAAGTTATAACATAAATCATTAATTATTATTATATTATACATTGTTAATGTCTCCGGTTGAAGACGCTGGCCATCTTCACAATGCTGTCAGCTTCTCTGCCGGTCATTTTCTTGTTAGCCGTCTTGCTCATGGTGGACCTAAGTTTGTTGAATCCTTGTACCACGGATTGCGGGTTTAAGTGGGTCTGTTCGGCTATTTCGCTTAACTTTTTGACCATAAAGTCGGCGTTACCGTTCTCGATGGTGTCGGCCAACATGTTGAGCATATCGGTTACCATATCCGCTGACTCCAAGACTGAAACTTGATTGATCAAAAAGCCAATGATCTCCAATACTCTTTCCATGATCTGCTGATTTTCTAGTATGTCAGCCAGCCCTTTAACGACCGCCACAATTTCGTTGGCTGTTTTCGGGTCGTTTGTCGCGTGACGGATCAATTCTGCACTACGTTTGCAGATATTCCAATACGTGGGATTGTTCATTAGATCTTCGATACCATTACGCAAGTCTCTGATCAACAACTGACCGGGTTCTGTCTGGTTTATCTCTTCCATTGTGTCCCAGAACATATCTCCGAGAGCAGCTGATTTAGGATAAACGATCGATTTAAATTCTCCGTCGGCCTCAGCAAGTGCATTCTAAAACCAATGAAATCCTATTAAATTGTATAACACTGCTCAAAAAAAATTTACTTTGTTTTTTTTTTTTTTTAATAAACGCCAAAATGTATCAACCAATTTTTCCCGGATTGTTTTTGCGAAATCCAAATTTGGTATCAGATTTTGTCAAAGAAAATATAATTGAAAAAATGTATGAAAATGATTTAAACATACATATTACATAGTAGGTATTAGGTACGTCGAGAAAACTAATTAAACGCAGCTTAAATGTTTATTATGTACAAAGGTACTAGCAGTTTTATTAGTCGAAATCGAGAAAACACATTAAAATTTGACACGCTGTTGAACTTTTAAATACGGCACGTTTTTAACATTTTATCTAATCTGTGCTGGTAACTGTCCAAAAAATAACCAAACATCTATAGACTATATCTGTAACAACTGTGAATAAGTGTGTGAGTCGATTTCAGTGATTTTACAGGAGAGCGATTTTCAACTTTGACCAGATGCCATAAATCAGGATTTAATTTAAAACATTTGACTTTTTAGGATTCTCTTATATTGATAAATACTTAAGAGGTACTCAAGTGGTTTCTTTCAAGTTTAAAAACGCTCCCCTGTAAAATCGCTGAAATCGACTTAATCACAGTTGTTACAGATATGACCTGGTTAAAGTCAACATAAATCAACTGTTTATAACAATTTTAAATAATTTAATAGTTACCTGTGAGAAGCACGCGACCAGCAATAATACCGAAACGTTGACGTAAGACATCATCTTTAATTGGAATGAAAATATTCTGCATGGATAGTTGACATTTTTTTTATTTTTATACTTAATTGCATAACACATTTCTATTATAATGTCGAAAGAGAAACATATTTGTATGTATGAACAATGTCTATAACATCTGGTAATTTTAGCATTTTTTTAATAGGTAGATAATATGTTATTTACTACGAATTAGTAAGTAAAATAAAAGTACAAAAATATCGTAAAAACAAAAAAACAATAAAACACCAAAAGTTGTCTGTTAGGTATGGTAAATATCAATGCAAAATAATAACACTAATTGGTCACCTGCACATGGTTTTAAATAATTTTGTCACGAATTTCCCATTTTATAATTTTGTTATTTAGAAAAATAAAGTACAAAACACATTCAGTAATTAGTAAAATTATTACCATGGGTTTTACGTTTTAGTAAATCACTCAAATGGCAATTGCCAATTAATTAAGCTTATGACATTTAAAAAAAAATAGTGGTGAAATATTATATTTTCAATTAAAAAAAATATATATATCGCGAGTCAAAACACTAGAATAAAAACATTTCTTATATAATAATTTTCATTTTTTTTGAATCTACTTTTTGAAAAATTTTAACATTACTTCGTTGGATTGTTGTGAAATTACTGAAATATTTTGATACTTAAAAAAAAAAAAAAAATATTTAACTAAAATCTAATGTTTGATCGTATTCAACATTATTTTGTCAGCTGGTCGAAAAAATTAATGAAATTTTAGTTTTTAATATATATATTTGTTTGGTTTATTTATATTGTTTTCCAACTTACGTTTCGATTGATTTTTAAATTATTTTTTTTTATAAAAATGAATAAATTTTAAGTTTTTAAATAAGTTTACCTTTTCCACTTCTTTTACAGGAAAACTTGTTGTATATTATATGCTCGTCGATATATTTCATTAAGGAGAACTTAAAACGTCTGTTATACTATTTTGAGCATTTACGCGAAAATTGTGTTTTTTCAACTTTTTACGTTGTAGGTACATGACAAACTTAAAAAAAGTAAGAAAAAACTAGGAGTATGAAAAAAACTACTGAGTAAATTTAAAAAAATTACAAAAATGTCTTACCATGTATATCATTTGGTTATAGATTATATTAACGAGTCAATAACAATAGTGTTAATAAGATTACTCATAAAATAATACCAAAGTACTAAAAAACAATAATGGCTAAAAAATATATAGGTATAATAATACAGGGCTAAATTATGTAAATAAATGAAACAATTGTATTTATGTAAAAATATTATATGAGCCCTCTCAAAATCGGCCTTGTGCATAAGACAGCAATTTCGGTATTTTGTTGAATCTGGCCTCTCCATTACATGAACATAGGGATGGGATTTGAAATGGTGGGTGTGGAGCCAAAGCCCCATAACATATTGTCAATCAGGAGCGCACTAAGAATTTTTTTTGCATGGAAGTCAGACGGTTAAAATCTAAACATAGTCGTTGTCTTCAGCGTAAAGTTTAATTTACGTATATTTGCACTAAAAACACCATATTTCTTTACTGCAATTAACTGGTTAACTTTTTAAAATTTAAGATAGCTATATTATTAAGAACAATCTGCTGAAAGTATAGACTGTTCGACAAACAGTTTTGGATATTTATTTTTAAACGTTATTTAGGTTTAAAGTTTAGGATGGGAGGTAGAGTGTGGTAGAGTAAGGCACGTAGATTAAAATAACTCCACCTAATAGAATAAATGTTATTTCATTTGTGGGTCACCCTGTATATAATTTGAATGAAACAATATTTAATACAAACATAATCTTTTATTCATAATTTTACATTTAATTATATTGATTATTTCATAAATCATTACTGGTGTACAATAGAGGCTACAATATCTACAGCCTTCAAAGTAAACATAATAATTAATCATAAAATATTATTATTAACTAACGAATGAACACAGTAGTTTCGTTTCAAAATTCATTAAAAATCTCTGTACATGAAAAATTGAACAACTTTAAAAAGTATCAAATATAATGTCAATGTTACTTACATTTAATGTATGGGTCGGTAAAAATATTAACATTAATAAAAAATATTAGTTGCATACAATCACAAAGTTAAAAACTGTTAAATCTAAAGAGATATCTCAAATCTTTGTTTATTAACAACAATAAAAATAATGGTAATAATAAAATACTCAATAATAATAATAATTATTAGCATTAGTACTTTTACTGCTCCTAGTAAATATAGATGAAAGAACAATTTGAAGAAACTACTAAGTATTCATCCAAAATTTACACTTCATTCTTATTATGATACGAATAAACAATTTGCATATAAGTAAATATTTTGGGGTCTAATAACACATAAAATTTGGTCTAATAAAATTATATTAAAATCCTATTTAAAATATAAACAAAAACATTTATTTTTAGGTTCTAATGGTAGTAACCTATAGTTCATTAGTACAAACATAATTTGTATTTACTACTGAAGAGATTGACATTAAAGCTTGAAAAAAAAATACATGTATACTTTTTAAATATATAATATGTGTAATATTGCATGACTTATATGTACATTAATAAAAAAACAAAAGCTAACATTATTAAGACAGTAAAACTGAGAGAGAATTAGAGTGTGCTCTATTTTAAAACGAAAAGCATACTTTTCACAATTCTTTTATTTTTATTTATTAATAATTTATTTTTTATGATAGTATAATTTGTTTTTGAATTAATTGTACATAATTAACTACCTTTTACTAAATTATTAATATACTTTTTTTAATAGGCGAATAAAACAACTTCTATAGAAAAAAAATAATTAAAATAAAACACTGGATTAATAATTTAGCTAAATAACAATAACTCTAACGTGGTAAGGGGTAAGGAGAAAAACAAAATAAACATAATACATTTAAATCAATCACAGTGTGATCGATAATGTCAATATCACGGTAATATTTAAAAGGGAACAGACTATTTCCATTATTTGTTAGCCAAAACAACATGATAATAATATTAGATTAATTAAATTATAACAGTATTAAGTTGACGGCAAGTTAAAATAGACCTTGGCTACCAACTTACAACACTATAATTTTTAATTTGGTAATAATAGAAGATAAATGAATAGATGAAAATATGTTTGGTTTAGAGTATATCTTAATTATACAAAGTTTTAACATGTTCCTTAATATTAAATGCTACATAATTTAAAATAACAATTTAAATATGCATGACCCTAGTGAATTTAGAAAAACACATTTTCCAATCAATTAAAATGATCGCTGATCTTTTGACGGTTTTTATCACCAATGAGTCATTAAATGTAGCCCAGGTCTACTAATTTATATAAAATATTATCACTTGATTGAGGTAACAGTATCATTTGTTTGGAAATAAGTCTTTCCTAAAAATGATGATAACCCTAGAACATACAGTTACAAATCAGATATTGATAAACAAATAAAAATAAATACGACAATTAAAAATGAAACATACTTATTTATATTTGAGCCGGTATACTAGACGTAGACGCTACTTCCATCATCTCGTCTTGGTTCTGATTCAAAAAATTATTGCTATTGACTGTAGTCAAAACATGAGGTCTATACGGTTTACGGGCTGCATGGTTGGTAAACGGCCGCGCACAAGCATCAAACAGTCTCGATTGGTCGATTTCTCTATTATTAGTAGCACTCGGCCTAACAATTCGTGGTTGATTCATTGCTACTGGGTTGGATCTGATGACATTTGGATATGGTGATGGCGACGGAGACTCTTTTTCAGTTTCCATTTCTTCATCTATCCTTGTCGCCGAAAGCTGGGCACACGTTGACGCGATAGGTTCAAAGTCACTAAAGGGGTTGAGATTACGTGGTGCCTGCTGGTAAATAGAATATATATATACCTCTATATAAAGTACATTGATTTTGATTTTATTCAATAAATACCCCTTTGTGAAATTGGTCAGCAGGCTTTTTTGAATCACAGCATCCAGCTTGAACAATAGTAGGTGTTGACTTGTGTATCCTTGGATCAAGTTTTGGTTTTTTTTGCATTACAGTTTTATGAAAATGATCTTCTTCCTCCATTGATTTTACCATTGATTCATCTGTTCTATGGTGACTATTAATTACATGATCACGACTTGAACTCGTACCTAAAGTATCTAATAAAGATGGAGCTATGTACGTAAAACCCTGAAAAAGAATTTATTATTAATATATTATTATACACGCAGTGATAGTAATGATTAACCGTGTACAATGTTGTTTTAAATAATAATTCCACAGAAAAATAGTATTGATGATAGTGTATAAAAAAATACCTACAGAATACAATGAAGTCTTAGGACTATGTCATATCTATGCATATAGTGTTTTTTTATAGGGATGTATGAAAATACATTGCTCAAATAAAAAATTTCACATTTAGGCGTATGATACGTGCATGGTTTTCCGACGTATAAAAAAAGCCATTATATCATACGCGTTAAGTGTGAAATGGGCCTTACATCAAATTTGAATTCATCGTTATCATGAGGCATAAACGAATCATCAACTGGTGAGTCGACTGGAAGTTGATTAGTAAACCTGGAATCAAACTGTGTTGTATCTTCAGCGCCAGCCTAAAATAGATAAGTCATTTGGTTAGCTCCGTTTGGTAGTTCATAAATTGATAATTAGTGAAAAATAAAATATTAACCAGTTTCGGCTTATATGGAGCTTCACAAGAACGGTTAATAATATCTTTCCACAGTATTTTTTGGAAGAAGCGATGATTTCTAATGTCGTCCCCTTGATTTGGACCAGACCCAAGCCTATGGTTAACTTGTCTCTATTAAATAAAATAGTATTAAATAAATGAGTAACACAATACTAAAATAAATCAAATATACATTGCACACAAAACTTACTTTAAGTAGTTTTCTCATAAGATCTTTAGCTTCAGGTGAAACGTATGGAGGCATAATTAGTTTACCCCGGAGGATTTTTTCAATAGTTTTCTTCCTGTTGTCGGCACTAAATGGAGGCTATAAATAAAATTGTAATGTAAAATTTTGATGTCAAATATGTCTACTATATAATAAATACTAACAGTTCCCGTTAGCATATCAAACATTAATGCGCCGAGTGACCACCAATCAACTGGTTTACCATGTCCGCTTCTGGTTAATATTTCTGGTGCCCTATTGGATCAATGAAGACAATTTTTATTTAATTTTAATGTTAGATTCATATTGTATGTTTTCAATCCTTACATATACTCGATTGTGCCACAAAATGTATGTGTGACGCTACCTTCGTGAACATGTTCTTTGCATAAACCAAAATCTGTCAATTTTAAATGCCCTTCGTGATCTAATAAAACATTTTCTGGTTTCAAATCTCTAAAAAAATTACAAAAAATACATATTTTTACAAACATTGAGTTATGTTTAGCAATAAATAAATAATACAAGTCTATTACACATTGTTTATGAAAATTGGAAGCCAATGAGTTAAATGTTTACTGTTATAGAACATGTCAACTAAATAAAATAAATTAAATGAATGTTATGGCCACTATACATTTTCAAACTTCATTTCCATAAAATTATTTTTAAGAATGCACTATGTCGCTGTCAACATTGTAGTTAGTACCTAGTTTATGATTTAAATACGTAATTTACTCAGTAAAAAGTAATCAAAAAAGTTTTATTTAAAATATTAATTATACCCACAAGTTTATTTAATTTAAAACAATATAATACTAGCATTCCCTGTGGGTGGGGGCCAGAATACACCCACAGCAATCCATGCTCGTCGTAAAAGGCGACCCAAATGGACCTAGCAATGGGCAGCAACATTATTAGTATCAAGTATAGATTTATCTATACTTGAATAACATCCCTTAGTAACAAGAGATGCCATTGCGATGCAGAAGGCAACGGGAAACCACTGCATTAACGTTCCCAAATATCAAGCAATGAAGGTTAAACGTCAGAGAAGAATGGAGAACCAGAATTGCAACGACTAGGCAAGGCCTTTAGTAGAGAAGAAGAAGATAAAATTAGCATTTAAAAAATATCTATAAACTAATTGAAGCGATAATAATAGTTATATAATACCTGTAGATAATGCCCTGGCTATGCAAATGTTGTATTGCAATAATAATTTCTGCCAAATAAAAGCTGTAATAATAAAGAAACATTAAAAGAAATATAATACCAAATAATAGCATTAGATTAAGATTAAATACTACACATTTGTTATTTATCTAATTTGTTTAACAGGGGACCATAAATGTATCCATAATTATATTTTGTTGTTGTATTGCCTATATTAATTCTATAATTGTCTTATATTTTAATTTGGCAAATCAATATTATAAAATGCGCAATATAAAAATTTGATGTTAACATATTTTCTATATCGAATTGAGAGTATTTTCTAAGAAGAGATAATTAATATATAAATAAACCAAAGAGATAAGTGTAATATTTTATGTAATACAATAACATGATTATATTTGTATTCATCCCTTCTGATAATACAATTTAACACATTTGAACAATTATATAGTTATTATTATACTTCAATCTTTTTATTTGCATTCAACATTTACTAAACTCTCATCCCAATTAGTATTTACAAGTTTGAAGGGGTAAGTGTGAAATTGTGGGATTAACTTTTGTTTATAGGGATTTTTCCTTATAAACTTTAATATCTGACAAAGTTTCAGTAATATTAAAATAAAAAACTACTTAATTAAAAGTTTGAAATCCAAGTCCAACTTCAATTGCCTTATGTTGTTTAACTAGGAAAAATAAATTTTCTTTCTAAAATAAACTAAAATAATAATAAGAAGTAGTGTTTTAAGCAGCACATCACAAGAATGTGTGTCAAGGTCAAGGAAAGTAATTCTTCAGTAGGTCAGTTTGACATGGAATGACCCAATTTTATACAGTGATGAAACCTAACAAGTTATATGTCATAACAATTTTTTTAATATATTTACAAAGGTAAAAAATTAAAATTCACAAAAAATAACTTGAAGTCTCATAAAATGTATAGTTCTTCCTAGTCAAACTTTTTTTTGCGTTCTATTTGTGAAGAGTATTAATGTTAAATTGAATAGCAATTACTAGCATATTTATAGTTTACAATTAATGAATCATAAATAAATAACAAATATATATTCATTTTACTTATAAATAATAATAATATGTACTGCTCACATAAAAAATTAAGAACTTACCACGCAGTATCTTCAAGAAAAATTCCTTCTCTCTCCAAATGCATGAAAAGTTCACCACCGTTTAAATACTCCAAAATCAGATATAACTTCCCATTCGTTTGGAATGCATAGAATAAACTGACTATGAATGGGTGCTAAAAATATAAATATTAAAAATTAATTAGATTATATAATTTAGGTTTTTGAAAAAAAAAAAATAAACAAAATCAATTATACAAAATTGAACTTTTACCTTAACAGCCTCGAGGATATTACGCTCAGCTTTAGTATGAGCCATATCCTTGGAATTACGTACTATTGTAGCTTTCCGCAAAACTTTCATAGCAAATATACGATTTGCATCTTTTCCAGTTTTTTTCCTAACCTGGAATACTTTACCATAACCTCCTTTACCCAGAACTTTTAAAATGCTAAAACATTCTGGAGATAACTTTTCCTTTGTTTGGTTTACAGTTTTGTCTGATAATTTTAAAGTCTCTACATCACTCGACCTAAGAATTTAATTTATAGTATATATCAAAGCTAAAAATTAACTATTGTTTTTATAGCATACAGAAAAAAAATTATAAATCTCACTTTTCATCGTATTCATATATGTTTGGTTCTTGAACAAAACATCCCTGTGGACAAATAAATAGTGATATATAATTATTAATTGTAAACAGATAAAAAAATCAATCATAACACTTAAAAGTTAATAGGTTTCTCCTTATGGTATTCATGTCTAAAAATGATTACTTAGTTGGCAGTTAACCCAAGAAGACAACAAAGGGTAATAGAGGATATAGGAAGACTATTCTTTAAAATTTTTGTTTTTCCAATGAAATGAGTCGGGTGAAAAATTATAATATTAAATTAATCATTTATCATGGTCTAAGCAACAATTTCAACTATTATTTAATAGATGCCTACTTATTATGTACCAACTTAGTAGTTATGTTTGATTGTCATCTCCTCAAGGTGACCAAACTTAGGCTTTTTAAGCCTACTACCAGTTAAAATATAGCCATAGGATAATAATAATAGTAATCTCCTTTTTTTTCCACATTGAACAACTATCTCTATAGGGTTAGCACAAACATAATTTTATATTTCGGATAAAATTTGCTTAACAAGTGTACTTAAATAACTTAAAATAATAGGTTTAAACTAAGGTATTGTATTATATGCGATAACAATACAATTATAAATATTTTATAGAAATCATCTAATTCAAATTATTTTGAAGTATTTTATAAAATTATTAATAAATGGAAAATATTGGTTTAGATTTAAATAATTATTTTTATATCATAATATTATATTATATGGCATATAAGATATTTATTTATTTGATTAACTAAAATTCGTAAATGATTTAATAATAGCACCTCATAATATTTACCTAGATTAGAGCTATATATTTTTACTCTGTCCTTTTTTTTTTAATCACTAAGTTATTTAACTTAGATTATTTTTAATATGTCTGGGATATTACAAAACATACATTCTTCATCTAACAATCAATTCAGAAAAATATAATGACTTGATAGATAAATGAAAATTGTCAATAGTAACAATAATTGAAGACATAATCAAGGTCAATAAGGTTACAATAGATAATAAATGTAATTTTTAAAGATGTAAAATGTAATTGGTATCTAATCCACTCTCTAGCATAATGCCACCAAAGTGCAAATAAAATAAAACATAAAAATCGAATAATTGAGCTTTGTGTTATAATCTTATCTGTACATTTTTGAGTTAGATACTAATAACCAACTTTAAATATCTTTATAAGGTTATTTAAAAGCAAAATAATCATTCAATATTTATATTCTAAGTGAATCTAATTTTTAAATAAATATTTTCATAAAAAAATGACTATATACATTAAATTTACTAGTGTATGAAAGTCAAGAAATGTGTTTGATAATTTCTCATATCACCGACCTAAAATTATTAACTAACATTGAGGATTTTTAAATTTACCACAAATGTGATCATTTCTATATAATAACTAGCTATTTAGAAAGGTTAAGTTTATAAATTCATTGAACATACATGTTTTTTAACGACAAATATTACAATGGTAATAAGGAAATTATATAATACCAACATTTTTTATCTTTCATATCAATATGGAACCTTACGATTATTTGGTAGTTTTTTTTAATGTGTTTGTTATTTCGAGTACTTGTTATAATACAAATAGTACAATAAACCAGTGGCGTACTCAGGATTTTTCAATGGAGGGAGGGGGGCTGTACAATGTAAAAAAAAGTTGTCATTAAAAAGTGTGATAGGAATTGTAATGTAATATAATATTATTATGATTGTATACTTTCATCAAAACCGTTGTTACATGATTTTCCTATCTATATTTTAAGTGTTAAAAAAAATATAATGGATTAGCATTGTTATAGTATAAAGAACACGTTTTTGTAAAATAATAGTCAATTTATATCTCTTACGTAAAAAACTGATAAGTACACGGGACTGTTTTATTGGAAAACCAGCTTAATGGTTTATAATTTATTTATACTATAACACAGCCAATGGGGGTGGTGGCTGAAGCTCCCTTAGCCTCCCCCTGGGTATGCCACTGCATTTAACCTAATGACTATCAATTGTTATCATTTGATACTCGTACTGGATAAAATGTCACTTCATGCTATTTTCAATTAAAATAATTATGGTTTATGATTTACATATTGAATCAGCTAATCATTTATAAGAATATAATTCACAAAATATTTTTCTTTAAAATCGACATCCTCAGCACATGTACCTTACACATGATGTAGTCATGTGGTTATCATGTCAGTAATGTAATTAACTGTAAATTGTACTTCTAATGAAATGGATTTATATTTGTATAGAAAAAAAGCTAGTAACCTGTTATCATATTATGTACTTGAATTTTAGTTTGAGTACCTATAGTCTAATTGTCATGAGATGTATATAAATAATAAAAACGAAAATAATTGATTGATCAATGAAATTAGATCAATTTATACTGTATGCAAGTGTGAAAAGTAATTCCACCGCAACTTCAAGTTACCTATTTGTCAAGTTCAACTTTACTATGGGTATCGAAAAACTTAACGATAAGAAAGAAAATGGATTATTATAGGAAATACATTGTATTTTTACCTCTCCAAATTCGATTAACTCATCGTCAGAGTCGCTGTTATTTTTTTGACTTTTAGAAGCATCGTTGTTTTGTAGCTCTATGTCGAACACGACGACCTCGGCCATGGTTTTCACGGCTAAGTTTTTTCAATTCGATGCAATAGTGATTTTTTGGCGACTTGAAATCAAAATAATTGTACACGGAAGACGGACGACATGTCGCCGTCAATATATTATTAAGGTGATCTCGATATGTTGTAAAAAAAAAGTAGGTACAAATTACTGAAGCAATTCAAAATTCAAACGAGTACAACACTTTATTAATAATAATTTTGCATTAACATTAATCGAAAAATTAATTGCACAAATTTCCACGACGGCGACGATATCGTTGTGCGCGATTGTTCACTAATCACACGTAGAAAAATTCTCTTCACAAAATCGGCAATATGGCAAAACTGTAAGTAATGCGATTGGATCGGAATGAAAGGAATGTCGTGGTGGTGTAAAACGCGATGAGGAAATGTACTCACTACTACTCACTACTCACAATCGATGTTGCGTACGACAGCAGGTATCGTTTCAATGAATGGCGGGTGACGGAGGGAAGTAGGCGAAATTGTCGGCGGGTGCGCGGTCACTACTCCGAACGGTCGGTGTTTTCCACGGTGTTGAAACAGTGGGCACCCGCGCGTAAAATAAAAAAACTATATTATACGAGGAGGCGTCGTTTGATGAGCTGCACTGCGTTTTATGTTACGTTCGTTTGAAAGGTGTATTTTACTTTATGAATGAATGTATTATGATGAACGCCAATCGCATTCATGTTTTCGTGTACGAATGTAACTGAATGAAAGTTTGTGGATAATATTATATTTCTGTTGTTATATTAAAATGTAGATGGTCGTGGTCCATCTGGTTTGTTTAATCTATGTTACCAATACTAATTGAACATCCCATATTTCCCTACGGAAATAATATAATTAATTCGTCGTTACATAATAAGAATATTTATATGCACGTTTGTTATTTAAAACAAACGTTAAATAATAATACCATATAACATTGCAATAAATTCGATAGGTTAGATACCGAAACCTACCACCAAGTACAAGCTATGTATTTAAAGTTTATTACTAAATTTTGATAATTTAAAATAACCTCAAGTATTGGACATTACGCAGCATATATAACGCTGGTGTAATTTATGTTGCACGTTGGCGCCTTGTTTAATGGTAAGTCTTAAACGCAATAGTTTTTATTTTACATCCATATTAGATATTATAATAATAATTGTTGTACAATTTAAATATAACTATTTTGTTTAGAAAAAAACACAAGCAAAACTTGTAGTTACATACAGTTAAGTGATAGAATAAACAATTTTTTAAAAATATATTTTACCACAAAAAAATGTATATTTTAAAATATCTTATTATTTTATTGCTTAACTGTAACTCTTCAAAGTAGAATTTAATTTTCTAAAATATCTATTTACTAGATACGAACAACAATGGAACTTTTAGTTTAAGTAAGTACATTTTAATTTTTGATATCGAATTTATGTTTATGACTGAAACACAGCAACAGATACCTAGACTGAACGATAGAAAAAGTACATAGGAGTTTAATGATTCTTTAGATAAGTTAATTATATATATACATTCAACCACTGTGTAAGAAATATAGAAATACACTAAATTACAAAAAAAAAGATAAATTAAAAACTAAAAGTATAAATTTTACATGAAAATGTAATATTATTATAATTTATTGTTACTACTCAAAAAAAACATTACACAAATTATATTAAAAAAAATAATAATAATAATATAAATTAGATTAAAACATTGAAAAGGTCAACTTCGAGTCTTGCATACAGTTAATTAGGGAATATAATACGTCGTACATTTTAAAGTTTTAATAAATTAAAATTGTTGATTTGTATTACTTAAGATATTTATCGACACTAGAGAATTTAAGTATTTTTGATAAGAGACAATAATTTATAAATCGGATTTTCTGGTGGTATATCTTGAAGCCACTTGTCCAACAACATGAAATCAGCCTTTTCAACTTCATTGCAAGGATCTTGAACCTTACTCAGCGGTTTAGATACAAAACGGTGTCCTGGAAATTGAATAAAATAATTTTGGTTTGTACATAGAATTTCGTTTTTATTTATATTTCAAATTGATAATTTACCCAGAAGACGTTCTGCAGCACCACATAAGCCACACCACTGTCGAAAATTAAGAACTTGACCATCGGACCATTCAATAATTAGTCGAAAATCAATAGCCTCTTGATCAGTAAATGGTCTACCCATGACTTCGTTTAATGCGACTAAAAAGTTCTATAAAATAGGAAAACCTGTTACTTCGCGTTGATTATTGTTTAAAGTAAACGATTTATTTATTCGAAATTTTACTTTTTCGTGAATGACCCTTGTTTCTTGATTTAGATATTTTTCAAACACTCTTGAGTATATAATTTGGCAGCTTTTATCAATACTTACATTACTTTTCAAATAATCTAAAGGTTTCATATCTATAAAAAAATCAAAAATTATCATTTTGTATTTTATAATGGTATTATGTACTTATACAATTAACTATTAGTTACAAACCTATGAGACTTTTTCTGTCTATCGGCAATTCGAATCGTATATTTTTTCTAGAAAATGTTCGGGGTAAGCCAGGTAAAATAACTTCCTTACTTGTCATACCGAGTTTACTTTTTAACGTTGCTAGCTCATCGTTTATTGTTTGACCGGCCAATAATATTGATCTCATTTTTAATGCTTCTTCTAGTGCCACGTGCTTCTGTTAATTAGGGTTTAAATAATATCGTAATTTAATTATTGTTTGTACCGTTTAGACATTAGACGATTATCATTATTGATTATTTTTACTAATATACCAACGCTAAGTAATTTTGTAAAGTTGTGCTGTGTGTTTATTCACTTTAAGAGTAAACTTTCAAAGTTTATTTACTTTTTCAGTTAACATAGTTAAGTTAATATTAACTTAATGTATTATTTGCTTAAACTTTAAAGAAATACTCTTTTCTTTAAGCTTTATTTTTGAACATTATACTTTTTTTAAAAGAATTTGAAGAGTTCAAACTTTTAACAAGATGCGGTGGACACAAAATTATAGTTAATAAAAATAATTGAATTATGTTTTAAGACCTTCATGTCAAATTCATTTTCTATGTCTATTAAACTCAATTCCCGTTGAAGTTCTTTTAATATTTCTGGTTTTATAAAAAAGCTTATTTGGTAGTCATCGTTTTCGGGTTCTTTAACTTCCTCGTCGTCTTTCTCGGAAACACTAATGTCAGGCGAATTTGGATTCATGCTGGACATCTAAAATTTGTTTTGATATAATTGTTGGTACACAACTCTATAAAATGTTATAAATTATTTATTAAATCATAAATGCATACCTGTGTCTCCAGAGGTTCTTGAAACCCTTTGAAATCTTTTGTTTGACGTCCGGAATGTTTCTTTTCTGATTTTGGCTTGCGGGTTTTACCCACTTTAACTGGTTTTCCTTTTCTCCATTTTACCTCTTTAATAACGCCGTTTTCTTTTTGTGTTTCGTAAGCTCCCGACAAGTCTAGATGACGCTAAAGCGGTTATGAGCATACTTTTACTGATCTGTCATCACAAATGGTCACAAACTTACTAAATTATCAGCAATGCAGTCGACTTGTTTTTCAGTGATGGTTATTTTTGCCCTTAACCGTCTTTTTTTTCCAGACTTTTTAGCTGATAGTGAATTTTTTCTTTTTGCTGCATTATTTGTATATGTAGATCGTGTAACATATGGCGCATGTAGTACTGATCCTTGACACAAAGAAAACGCCTCACAAAATTCTTGTCCAATAACACCCTATCAAAGTTAGAATTATTTATCACATAAGATTTTATGTAAACTATTTATGTATTTCTAAAAAAAAAAAAACAGTAATATTTCACAAATATGAAAGACTCTATGCTTCTTCAGTAAGGTATGTTATATTTGGCCACATACTAAGTGACATGCTTCAAACATTAATTCATTCAAGGATATACAAATGACAAACTAACCGTAAATCTAATTGATGACTGTTGACTTCTGCTACGTCCTAAATCCAAAACCAGCTTTGATTTATCTTCGGCTTGTTCACGAGTTCCTATTTTAGGAGTAGTTGTCGGCAAAGGACTGGTCGCTCTTGAATCAGTTTCTGTATACTTCCTAAATAGTTCCTCTGGAACTATTATGTTGATTTCATCCACATCGGGATAACGATGTGGAGATTTTGGATCTAATGCCTGAGAAATTCATTGCTTTCGCAATTAATTATTTCTTTTTTTTAGGAAAAAATTGATGTAAAATAACACTTACCAAGGCATCTTTAGCCTTTTTGACGAGTTCTTTGATTTCGTTGTCAAGCGGATGGTTGCAAAGCACGGAACAACCGTAAGGGTATGGGTTATAAAGAGATGCTAATGGTTTCAATACAACGGGAGCAGGGTTGCACAACACACCTGTCATTTCTATAGGACTTTCCTGGAAGAGAGTAACTTTTTTTTTAATTTCTGATTAAAAAAATTAGTACAAAAATGGTACAGTTGACATTTTTTTTGAACCCCCTATGTTGATCATGCAGTATTTTTACAATTGTCACCTTAACACCATCCAAAAGTATCATAATCATCATCATGTAGCTTAACAGGCCCTGAAGACCCAACGCTGCCACCATGAGATGGTTTTTGACGAATTTGCTTTTACGACGGGTCGTCAGGCCGTCGCTTGTCACCCATATAGATAAAAAATATAATTTTTATTTGGCTCTCCTGTAAAATTTCAAAAATTACTTACACCCTATCGATTTTTACTACTTCGTAAACAAGTTGTAAAAAAAATATTGATTGTAGTATGCCGTATCAATAATATTGTGTTTTTAAAAGTAATTATAGATTTCTTTTAAGTAATTTATTACAATATTACTGCAGTTGAACAGGGTCTGTTTATTGTGCAAAACCTTATTTTGACTCAAGAAGATAGAGTACCTATACCTGCCAATACAAAATAAATATATGAAGCTCTACCTCGTGTACTTAAATTGTATGCATTACCGGTGTATTTTTATGTTTATTTTTTTTATAACATAATATATTACTTTAAGATATTAAGGTATTAAGATATGTATTGAATTGTATTATGTAAGCTTTAACTCTATTATTATTGCTTTTATGTATTTATAGGTATTTTTTGTCTAGCCTCCTCACCATATTCCCCCTCATTCCTAGATCCACCCTGTGTATAGACTAAATACCGTTGCAGTTGCAGTCTAATTACTAGTGATGTTATTAAACAATAACGGGTGTAAATTTCAAATTGTAATAATTTTTAAACTATCGTTATAATTGTTGAAAGTACTATTAAGTTTTTATCCTTATATTATATTAAATCGTTTTATCGATTAATCCTACATTTGTTAGAATACAAATATCGATAAAAATAATATTCTATCATTTCAGGTCTCATAACGAATTTTATGTTTGCAGTTTGAATATTAGTATAGTAATTAGCATTAACTAATATTTTACAATTACTGGAAATAATAAAATAAGTGATAAATTTAGTATATTATATTCTCACCTCATTTTCATTTTCATATGTATTTTGTATGTTTGCTGCATAAAGTCCCGTTCGACTAACCATTATTTTTCTACACCTAATGTGTCCACGCTTTTGTAAAATACCAGTGCTAAGTAGGTAAATATTATATAAGTAGATAATATTTTTTATAACTACAAAAAATGCGTTTCATAGGATAAGTATTGTTAGGTTTTATTTATAAGATAGTAGGTATCTATAATATTATGTATACTTACACCTAGTTACCGGACTCTTTATGATTCACTTTTTCGTTGATACTTTGAACCAACAACGTAACCCTGACAACTATTATAAAAACGTTGCTTCGTTTGTTTTCTAATAAAGACACATATTTTGTTAACAACTGTTATTTTTATACTTCGTTGAATATTATGTGAGTTTTCGTACAAAATATTAAAATGGCTCTTATCTATCTAATACATAATCTATACATAATGTAGTATATTCTAAGTATGTACATTCACTTACTGACCATCGACATATTGTAATTGGTAATTTTAGAAAAGTTAGAAAGTTTAGTCGTATTAGGTTTTCTTTTCCAAATTGGAAAGAATGAAACTCTTTATTTTTAACACAATCCATTGTTTAATTTTTAAACAAAAGGAACTGTATTTAATTTCGGGATATTTAAATATGTATCGTGCATAGAACCACGTAGAGTCTATATAGTATTGTTATAATAATAATTTAACTGCATTTACTTTTATATTTTTTAGGCAAAATGTTTTTCTGCTGTTAATTTTTGACTTTATATAATTATAATGTGCATTTAACCATATTTTGATGAAATTTAATAATAATAAATGTGAAATAGCTAAGGATGTAACTCTAAAGTTAACATTAGTTTATTGTTAAACTCGTATTTAAAACTGGTTTACAATTAAATTAAGTGAATTAACACTTTCTAATGACAATCTATGGTCTTTTAAAAAATGTGAGCAACGCTCAACTCAAATTTGGTTTTACTCCAGTACCCAGCTGTAGTTTAAGGAACCGAAAATGTAATAAAAAAATTGAGGAGGAAAATAGGAAATGGTATACTCATTAATCATTTAGAAAATTCATTGCACAGCTTTGCCCCACCAAGGAAAAATTTCTGGCACGGTCACTGACTTTTTCGAAGTCCAATTACTATAGATTTTATATGAATTACTAAATAATTCTAAGTATACATATATAAACCTAAATTTCGTATATTAGTGTAATAATGCAATTAACTAAGATCTAAAATATACAGAGTAAACATACAATTATTAAACTAACTATCTACCGGCAAGTAACAACAATTAAATTACCCTTTGGACGAACGATGTAAATTATATTTCTGTAGATAAATAATATATTGAACAATAATAGAGTACACTGGAGTTTTATCAATTATTACATAATACTTAAAATTGTGAATCAGTTTTTTATCAAATTTACTATTTCACAACCCATGCAAATGTATAAAATGTCAATTAAATTAGGCATCTTAACTATTATGGTATAAAATGGACTTCCGTTGAACCTTAAAATTTTTTTTGAAAAGGCAACATTAAGCGATTCAAATCATTATAGTATATAATTTTTTTAATCTGTAATAATAAATATTATAACATTATATTATTATTCATAAATCATAAACTCTATACTTAATCAGTATAATTTTTTAATTTCTTGAATTTACTTATACGATTTTGACCAAATTTAGCCCCAGATTTTTGTATTTTTCGAACTTATACTAACTAAATGATTTATTTTTAAAATCTAAAATAATATTTTAAAGCTTTGTTATTTTGATATTATTAATTAGTTGATTTGTTTCTAACATATTTCACCTTACCTCTTGATTATGGCCATTTGGATACACAACGTAATTCAATGATAACCTTTAGAGTTATCTCTATGTACCATTAAATTACCTAACACGTTTTTAGGAAAATAAGATAAATAAGCCATGTATCACATTAGCAACATGTTTTTTTCATACAACTTCGAATAATGATATGTTATGATGTTATGATTAAATTTAAATATAATATTAACATAAATCAAATTCGTTTCTATATAATTATAATGTAGTTTACATTTTAAATTGTGAGATCAATGATGACAATACAATTTAAAAAATTATAGAAGCCAATGTTTATATGTATTGTCTATAATACACCTTTCTTTGGTAGAAGTTTAAATATTGTAGAATCGCTAAGCAAGTAACACAAATTAATATTTATAACAGAAGAAAATAATTTGTAAAAAATACTTGGAAGTTTAGGTAAAGAAAAAATAGGATATAGTATAAGGACAAAACAAAGTAAAAAGTGATGATGTATAAAAATGGGAATAACAAAACGTTAGTATGGTTACAGAAAATAGTGGACTAATAAAAATCAAAGGTTATCATGACCCTGTTTAGTGCTAGGCCAGGGACACGAAGAAGAATATTTATTAATAAAGATGAATTATAAGAAGAGATGGAAATGACGTAAAGTTCAAAGGTGCGATATCTCTATTGGGTATAACGATTCGTCATTTATGAATAAATTATAGATTATATATAATACTTGTATATGTATTAATAAAAGCCAATAAGCAAAAACCTAATTAATTGATATTTTATAATTTACTAATAATTGAAAGATGAACCATTTTAATGTAACATATTTATGTAGGTATACTGATTCTAGGAAAAAATAGGTAGAAGTAAACAAAAATAAATTTAAAATAGTCCTGCTCCTTCCCCCTTCTTCTGTTAGGAATGTTAATTTAGCTAAATTAAGTAATGACTGATAGTTAAACCAATAATGACCAATAATTAAAATTTTCTAAACTTGACAACCAAAACAATCCAAATATTTAGAGCAAAATTATTACAAAGGCCAACCACAAAAAAACTAAATCTTATCAAAATATAAAAATTAAATTAAAATATTTAATAATATCCTATTATAAAAATGGCTAAAGGTTAATATATAATTTTAGTTACAAAGGTGTTGATTCTACAATGATGTGTTTTTTTTTGTATCTGTGAACACGATCACTTTTTTCTCTCTGGACCGATTTTTTAATACGCATTAGTAATATAATTTTGGCCTCCTAACAGTTTTCTCAGTGACGCCCAGTATTTCTTATAAATAAATTAAACTGAAAAATAAAATTACTAAGAATTATAATTATACCTACCTATTTTGAATACTACGAGTATTAGGATGTATAAAGATGACCAATATACATTTATACTATAACTAAAATTATACTATGAATTATATATAATACAATTATAATATTATCATACTATTTTATCTTAGTATATTTTTTATACTATTATGCTACTATAATTGATATTATATTTTATTATAATTAAAAACAAATTTTTTTGTAGTTAATCTGTTATCTTTCGAATATGATTTCCTTATGCATTTTTTCCCATTTACCTGGTATACTATGTAATGCATCTGAGTATGTACCTAGAAATAGTAATAATAGCCAATATTAATCATTATTATGGTCCATTCTAGATTGCGCCCATAGCTTACAACATAAATATACTATGTATAAACTATGCTACTATGCTTAAATATACTATGTAATAGGGTGGCGCAAAAAAAAAATGTTATATTTTTCGCCCACCTCTAAAAATTAATCTTTATAGTAAATAAAAAAGTTTATCAAAATTTGGGGTCATTCGGTAAAGTTTTACAGGTACGCTCAACGCGATTTAATATAAATTTTAGGCATTTTTCATTAATTTTCACAATTCTTTACTTAAACTAAAACTGTTCAATATTCTCTGGAACTGACTGTTTTGTTCGAATCTTAAGAAGTTACTTTATCGTTTGATATAATAATCTATAAAATTTAAGCTCGTTTAATATGGTTTCATAGTAATTTTAATTATTAAATATACGCTTTTTTATTATTTCCAAAGTCAAACTAAAAAAAAAGACTGAATATATTTTTTTTAAATCACAATTTTAGAATATAATCCAAAATTGTATTAAATTTATAGTATTTTATAAATTAAAACTGTTTTTCATACTTATCATTTAACTACAACATTAAAATAGCAAAATATGATATAAATAATCTATTATATATAATATTAGTATAGTGTAAAATGTGCCCAATAAAAACTTGGAACTGTACGATTATTAACTCTACTGTGTATCTCTGGTATTTATGGGACACCACACCTGCCAATTTTTCGATTTAATAAGGGGTAATATTTAATTAATTTAATTTAGTAATAATATTTTACTTACTAAAAACCTCTGGGTAAAATGGTAAAGTCAATGGCTAAAATAGTTTTTAAATGTTGGGTGCATTTACGGATTAAAAATGTATAGTTAAAAAAATTGGCGCTATTAACGTATGTAATTATTTATAATTTTAAATATATTTATTAATGAAATAAAATATATATTATATAATATATCAGAAAAAAAAATTAAGAGGATGACCAAGAGCAAACTCATACGAATTAACCTGAAAATAAATTGACACGATAGAAATTTATTACATCAACATTTTTCTTAAACATCGCCTACACAAAACTCCGTAAAGACCGCCTGCTTTTAATCCCCTTGATTTAATTTGTTTATCTACTGAAATAAGTAGATATAAGTTTGTCTTTTACACTATAAAAACACATTTAATAGCACGAGTTGGGGTAGGGTGACTTTAGGTAAGCGTCGGTTGTTCAATTCTTCATTTTGGTTTTTGGTTAGGGTTAGGGTTTTTTGGTATTACCTAGCAGTATTTTTAAACACTTTTAACGACTATTCAATTTAATCCACCTATGTAACGTCATGATTTACACGAAATTCGATCTATATCGGTGCAGCAGTAATTAAGATTGCTAATGGGGTGGAGTGGGAGATAGTGGTAGCTAGGGCTATAGCAATATGATTGTCATTGATAACATACAACGTGCGTCTACCGACTATAATATTATGATATGTGTTATGTATAATATGTATACATGCACAACACTAATAATATAAGAACCGGTGTTCTGAGGTCGCTGCGCGTAGTCGGCTGTAATCTATTACCGAGCGCGCGCGCCCGGCACCATCTTATTAATAAAATCTAACGGTTTATATTTTTTTCTCTATTCAAATAACTTTGTTTTTTTAAATTTCTTCATAAAAATGGTGAACGAG